TAGTAATAGGCTATTAGATTTTTCTTTAATTTTATTATTCTTTTTTCTAGTAAAGAGAACTATAATTAATCTTATAGATTATATAAGTATTATTCTATAATAATAAATATATTATTTCTCTTTCTTATTAAATATAGAGAATTAAGAAATATAATATCTTTAGTTTTATAAGTAAAACCTAAAGTATTTGGGCTATTACTAGTATTTTGCTTATTATACTAAATAGAAGTCTAATTATTATTATTAAACTTTCTAGACTAATTAATTTTACTTCTCCTAAATAAACCCATTATATAAGATCTAATAAATTATATATAAATATTTACTAAGGTTAAAGTAATTAAGAAAAAATAAACCTAATATCTAATATATTTTTTCTTATATTTTATAATTAGTTTAGTATTATTTTAGGTCTTATTTTCTTATAAATATATATATATATATATTTGAAATTTATAATTAATACTTTAAAGTAATACTTTTTAATTAGTTCTTATATAATTTAAAAGTCAGGTTACTAAATTTAATACTTTTATAATACTTAAATTTACTTAAGTTTATAAAGTTTTATAATTATTAGGGCCTTTATAATTTTTTATCTTTTGAATTTAATATTTAAACTATATTATATATTTTGCTTTTAGTATAGAAAAGGCTCCTAAAAATCTAGAGTTATAAAGGGATTTTTATATTAAGAATATATTAAGGATATATTATATTATAATAATAAAATTATAAGTATTTATATATAAATATATAATATATTAGACTAGCTATACTAAAAACCATATTATATTTATATATAAAGTTACTAATTACTTTATATTAATACCGGATTTATATAATTATATAACTTTATATAATTAGCTAGCTATAAAAAAGCCCTAAAGCCCAAAACTTATAAAGAGTCTTAAGGGCTTTAGGGCTTCCGGATTATTACTAGTATCCGGTACTTTTTAGAAAAAGAATATAATATATTCTATAATAAGTAATCTATTATAAACTATTTAATCTTTAAATTAAATAGAAAATCTAAAGACCAGGCTTATAATTTAAGTCTTATTAAGGTTATTAAAGTCTTTACTAGCTAGTACTATAAATTTAATATAAATATTACAAGAATTCTATAGATTCTATTCTAATTTATCTAGAAAATATATATAATATATTTCCTTATTTATTTTAATATTTATATATAATTCCTAAGAGCCAAACTATTATTTAAAAAAGAAATAAAAAGGCTAGACTAATATCTTTAAAAAATAAGGCCTTAATAAGTTTGTTTAGAAAAGCTTACTAATTCTTTTAAAAATAACCTAAGCTCTAATAAGCTAGAAAATTTTGAGTTTATTATATATTATAATTTATATAACTAGGAATAAGAACTTGAGTTTATTATATATTATAACTTATATAATTAGAAATAGAAACTTGAGTTTATTATATGAAATTACTTATATATAAAAACTTTTATTATAAACTTCTTATTTGAATTAATTAGTTAAATCCATTTTTAATACTAAGTCTTTATTAGAATAACTTCCTGCTTTTAGAGGCTTTAAATAAAATAGCTAATAAATTTCTTAGTTATTAGCTAAGACTTATTAGCTAGAAAATCTATAAATAATATATAAAATTATAAAGCAGAATTCCTCTAATTATAATACTAAGATATTTTATTATAATATAAAGTAATTAGATATAAAAGCCCTATTAAATATAATATATTTCGAGCTATAAGTTTGCGAGATAAATATAGAAAGTCTTAGTACTTAACTAGTACTATAGTCTAGCTTAAAGATACCTGCTATTTTTTATATCTAATTTAATAAAAATAAGAAATACTTATATTTTAATTTAAGAAATAATTAGAGCTTTTATATAAATTTAGAATAATAGTTTATTCTATAAAAAGAGAATAGACTAGAAATACTTATATTATATTAATTTTTAGAAAGAATTATAGTAAATATTATAATTCCTGAAATATTTTTAAGAAAGCTTCCCTAAACTAAAGTAAGCTAGTTTATAATTCCGAAAAATCTATAAAAGTCTTATATACCCGAAAGTATAAGTATTTAAGATAAATATTATTTGAGTTCTAATCTATAATAAAAGAAAAGTAAAATATATAAAATAAAATATATAAAATAAAAATAAAATAAAATACCCGAATATTTAATAAATAAAAAGCCTAATTATAAGTTATAAGAACTAGTACTAACTAGATATATATATAGTAATATTAAAGAAGAAGTAAGATAAGAGGAACTAAAAAATAAATTAGTATATATTTTATAAAAGTAAATAGAGAAATATCTAAATAGTCTAAAAACAAGAAATATATATTAAAGAAATCGAGATTAGAGGAAAAAAAGATATTTCTTATAAAAATAAGTTAGTAGATATTTTAAGACAAAAAATAGGAATATTTAGTAATAGTCTAAAGGCTTTTATAAATATTAAAAGAGAAGAAAAGATATTAAAGTTCGGAGGAATCTAAATAGAAGTTAGCTTCTTTTTAGAAGTTTAAGAAAAAGTATTTCTAAAAGGCCTAAAGATATAAGAAATATTAGAAAAGGAAAGGAAGTATTAAAGTTTAAAGAAATCTAAATAGGAATTAGCCTTTTTTTTTAGAAGTTCGAGAAAAAGTATTCCTAAAGGGCCTAAAGATATAAGAGATATTAGAAAAGGAGAGAAGAAGATATTAGAGAAAAGAAGAAAATATCTAAAATTTAGCTTTCTAAGAAGCAAGTGAATTAAAGACTTATAGTATAAGAGTTCTAGATAAAAGTAACCCGGAAGTAGTAGTTAAGTACTAGCTTTTAATATTATTAGTAGAAGTATTAAAGAAGAAGGGGTTCGGAGGAGGGGTTTGGAAAAGAGAGAAGAAAGAGAGGAAGATTATAAGGCAGTTAGATACTAGCTCTTGGTATTAATAATAGAAGTATTAAAGAAGAAAGGGTTTAGAGGAGGAATTCGAAAAAGGAATTCGGAGGAAGAATTCGGAAGAGGAATAAGGAGGAGAAATAAGAAAGAGTAAGAAGAAGAGAAATGTTATAAGGCAGTTAGATACTAGTTCTTAGTATTAATAATAGAAGTATTAAAGGAGGAGGAGTTCGGAGGAAAGATTTAGATAAGGAGTTTAGAAAAGAGGTTTGGAGGAGGGATTTGGAAAAGGAGTAAGGAAAAGAAGTAAGGAGAAATAAGGAGGAGAGAAAGATTATAAGGTAGTTAGATATTAGCTCTTGGTATTAATAAAGGTATTAATAAAGATATTAATAGAGAAGATATTAATAAAGAATAGAAGCTCTTAGTATTAATAGTAAAGTTAAAAAAATATAGAAAAAGAATAAAGGTTTTAGAATAAAAATAGAATAAAGTTATAATTTTATAGAAAATAAAAGTACTAGTATAAAATAGTTATATTATTATATAATTCTATATTTATTTTTATTATTTATTAAGAATATTTACTTTTATTATTTATTAAAAATATATATTTTTTAGGAAAAAGTATTATTTATAATTCTTAAGCCTTTATAATTTAATAATTATATATTTAAAAAATAAGAAATAAATATAATTATATATACTAGAACAAGAAGATTTTTCTTATCTAAAAATTATAATTATAGTATTACTAAATATAGAAATATAGAAGTTTATATAATAAGCTATATATAGAAATTTAAAAAAATTTAAATTACCTCGAATTATTTATAATTAGTAAAGTAAATTAGCTAATTATATAAGTCGAGTTTAATTTAATTATTATTAGTATATCTTACCTTTTATAAGTTAGAAAAAAAAAGATTTTTATATTTTTATTTTTATAATTATAATATTTAATATTTAAATATATTTAATCTAGGGCTATTAAATACTAATATTTTCATTTTCAGGTATTATTTATTATAAATTTATTCGGGTTTAAATAATTATATTAAATATATATTTTTATATTCTAAAAATAAATAATAAAGATATAATTATACTAGCTTTAATCTTAGTCTTAATCTTAATTTCTTTCTAAAAATAACTTTAATTCTAATATATAATACTATTATTAAAGCTTTCTTTTATTAAAAATATATTAAATATAGCTTTAGGTAATAGCTTTAGTAAAAATAAAAGTAATAGAAAAGATAATAAAGCTATAAATAAGTAAAAAGATAATATTTATAATATATTCTCTAATAATTTAGACTTAGTTTATAATATCTTTTCTTATTAATATATTTAACTAATAAATTTCTTTATTCTTTAATCTTCTTCTTATATATAATCTCCTTTTTCTTTTTTTCTTTTTCTATAATAATACTTTAATTTTCTTATATTATCTAATAATACTATTAAAGTAATAAAGCAAATTAATAATAAGACTAAAGTTAGAGAAATAGAGCTATATTAGGATAGGAAGCTAAAGGAATTAGAGAAAAGTAAAGCAAATCTAGAAATAAGCTTAGTATATATTTATAGAACTAAATTCTTTTAAGCTTATATTATTTATAGTAATAAAAAGAGACTAAAGAATTCTTTTAAATATTATATAGTTATAAAAGGCGAATTTAATAGTACTTATATAAATTATAAATATAATAATAATAATAAAGTCTATATTTTCTATTAATTTAATACTAATTTTACTAAGTCTAAAAAGCCTTATTTTATATCTATAAAATTCTTTATATTAAAGCCTTAACTATTTATAAGATATAAAAAGTAAGTATAAAAACAGATATAAGATTAGAAGATAATAGGGAAGAAGATTATAGTAGAGGAAAGTAAGGATACTAGAGAAGAAGGAAATAAAGAAGATATAGATAATTTGAGTAATATAGGTAGTATAAAGGATATAGAGAGTAAGGGAAATAGAGATATACCTTGTAATCTATAGGATTTGCCTTACGAACTATATAAGCTAAGGGGGGGTTAGGAGTAGTCGAGAATAAGGCATATATACTATACTTTTTTTTTTTTTAGTGAGGTGTGGTGGGGGGGTATAGGCGCGAAAATCAGAAAATCAGAAAATCAGAAAATCACTTTTCGCTTCTCGGATTTGTCCGCTAGCCCGCTAATGGCCTCAGTATCAGCAGAGAGCGACCAACAAAGTTCTCCTCATAAGTCCAAATAGCATATATCTTCTTGAACAGTTCTTTTGTCCGAGGTGAACAATCTTGCTTAGACATATTCGTAACTCCAAATACTCGAGTCAGCCCTGTTTGCCTGCGGTTCGCTACACATCTAGACCAATTTAAGTGTAAGGCTTTCTCATCCAAGCTGTATCAGCCGCAGGATCGCCATTCAGAATCCAAAAGTCTTCCTGCCGCAACCACTTAAGTCCATTTTCTTTCAACAACAACTCCGCGTCATATGCCTTCATTTCTCGAACCAATTTCAAAGCTTTCTCGGCAAGAGCAAGCTCAACCGGCGATTGCGGTTCTACCCATGAGGAGTCTGAATCACTGTCGATGGATGTGACAAGCTCGTCAAAGAGCATCGGTGCTTCATCGCTCCTGCCGTTCTTCCGATAGATAGTTGCCAAGTCATTTCGGACCCACAAAAGAGATCTAATCCGGCCTCCAACCCCTTTCTCGATACCTCGGTCCACAAGTGATTGCATGATATCCATGGCTAGTTCAGCGTTACCAATGAATAGCTCTACTAATGCCCGTACATGGTTCACTTGAACTACTCTCTCGAACCATTTATCTACTAGTCCGCCGTCAAGGATGAACTCAATTAGCTCGAGTGCTTCTGGGTAGTTCCCCATGTCAAGGCACAGGACCACTCTTTGAATGATGGCATCAATAGTAGATGATGATGTTTGGCCGATGGTCCTCGTTCTCGAGTCAATCACTTCTAGAACAGCCTTTTCCGCATCTTCGTATTTGCCCTGTTTGCGGAACGTTGAAACCATCGCACAACGAGCCCAAATCGCCATCGGATTGTCCGGTCCGAGGATCTCTCTCCGATATCTCCAAATATGCTCATAATCCATCGAGGCACGCCTAATATCCCCTTGATATTCCAAGACTTGGCCCAAAGTCAATTGGGACATGAGATAAAGAAAACTTGTGACACCAACAGTGTTAATGAGCCCTGACAGCGATTCGGTAAGGCACAAATCGGCATCGGCAAACTTCGCCATCCACAGCTCTGCCATTCCCTGCCTTTGGAGAGAGTGGAAACAATCAGGCCGGTCAACCCCAAGTACTTCCCGCTGAATCTGTGCTAGCCGACGGAAGGTTGCCTCTGCTTCAGGAAATCGGCGCTGTTGCAAATATTCAAATGCAAATTCTGACTCTGCCATGAGTGCCAGAGGGTGTCTCTCCCCTAACAAATCGATGAGTCCTCTGGCCACAACCCGCTTTACCTCAAACGCTTCTTCTATGCGTGTGGCAAGATTGAAATATGCTCCAAGCTGGAAAAGGCAGAGGTATGACAGGGTTTTGTCCCCACCATCCTCTCGAAATTCCTCGGCTACTGCGCGGTATGGGCCTGAGAAGTACCTATCCAAAACTAAAATGTCCTGGAACGCTTTGGAGAGTGTTTCCCGCCAGATATTTAACTTAGATTCAACCTCCAACACTGTGCCCTGAGAGCCACTGAGCTGAAAGATGAATTCAGACCATGACACGAATTCATTTCCTATCAAAAAGATTGCTGCTTGTTGGACTAAGCTAAGTTCGGGATCTTGAACGGCCACCAAATGGACGAACCAGTGAGTTGCTGCGTATTGATAGAAATACTTATCCTCTTCCTTTTCCGCGGCGGACGCAACATTTCTTCGGATCAAAATTCCAATTATATTTTTGGATCTGTATTCCGCTTGTGAAAGAGCTGACAGACATTTTGAAGCGAGATAGGACTCTGACTCGTCCGAAGTGATGTGAATCGGAGAGTTGGTTTCCAACTGAGGACTTGTGAGGAAGTCCCTTACCGAAGCGTGAATGAGGTGAACGCGGTGGTCCGAAACCTTTGCTAGGGGCCAACATGATCGCATGATCGCATTCTCGGATTCAATTAGGGTATTGAACTCTGTGGCATCTGGCGTATCCGCGGTTCCGAGACTCAAAACATAGGAAAGTTCCTCGCATGTGAGTGGTTGGTAGACTCCGACCAAGATGATGAAGATTTCTCGTCGCCTAAGTGTAGCAGTTGGTGTAAGACGTATGGTCGTTCTGGAAATGATATTTTCGTAGAAGGAATATAGGTCTGGTGGGGGGCTTTGAAGATACGTGAGTTGCTCGTTATAAGTCTCCGCGGATTTGAGGCATTTCATTATCATCACTGCCCACAAGAACATCCCTCGGGAATATTCTAAGATAGTTTGACGAATCTGTTTTTCCAATCTTTGTAACTTGTCCGGATGGCGTTGGATTTCTGCAGAGACATAGACGTGAATATCATGTGAGATTGCCTCTGGGGTAATCTCGATTGTGGGACAGCCAGCGAAAACTGTCTCTAATTGAGGATGGTTTCGAAAGAGAACTATCAGGCGTGCATTTCTTGCGGAGGAAAGTTTCAGGAGTTCAACAATAAGCTCATGTTGCGACTTTTCAAGAGCACTTTCGCATTCGTCAAGTCCGTCGATAACGAGCGTGAAATCTGGGAGTTCGGATGCTGCGTGTAGCACAACATCCCAAAGTTCACGGAATTTAACATCAACCACTCTCCTCTTTCGGCTCGAAAGTGCTAGAACTTGATGCACAGATACAGAGTGTTGCGGATTGGATCTGGCGCCTTGCCGCTGGAGGAACACGAAAATATCGTAGAGAATTGACGCTGCAAGGCTAATAGAAGTGGCTTGCTCTTTGTTGGTGATGGTTTGGAAGAAGTAGACGAAAGTGACACAAGTCCTGGCGGTTCTTGATAGGAGATTGGCGATGGTAGACTTTCCTGCGCCTGAGATAATTTGTCAACCATTGTCTTTCGCCAGCGGGGGGTATAGTAGTGACCTGGAGGCCCACAAATACAGAGAGGCTTGTTATTGATATTTGCTTCCCAAGTATTCCATTGCTCACTTCGCTGTATCCATGTACCAGTCCCTTCTTCATTCTCGGAAAGTACCGGGTAAATACACTGGCTCTGTTTCAGCCATTCAATGGCGGTTGTAGTATCTCGGCGCAATTGATCTACGGTGTTGGGTTAGACATGAACTGAGATGGATTACCACATTGCTCATTTACCGTCTTCAAAGGTATACCTAATCCCTCTTACATCATGTGACAAATCTAGAGCAGTTAGAAAGATATGTATTTGAGAACGAAAGTCATGCCTGATCGAAATTGATCTTGTTTCGCAATCTCTTTCTGTGCAATGTCGAATTGTTCCTTTTGTGCTATAGATTGTTCAGTTGAAGTCAACACGAAAGTATCACAAATCTACCTTTTCGATCTTCGGCACGCCCTAGTACGCGAGTCCAAATTAGCATGGGGCGAACACACAGCAAGACTTCGGGAACTCCGTTGGAAACCTTACGAATTTCTGCTGCGAGAGAGGCTTCTTGCTCAAGAGCCTGATCATAGGCGTGTATGAGACTCATGATGCTTTCGAATTTCTGTGCATACGTCCTGCAAGCAACTTTGAAACTTCGAGCTAGCAGCAATAGTGTCAAATCATACCAACAATTTCGACAAAGATCGTGAGCGCTTACCGTGACGTGGCTTAGAGTAGTAGCTCTTTGCACGGACCAGAAAGTTGATGATCTGACTGAATAGATGAGCAGCCGTCTCTCGTACGCGAAAAAACTCATCGAACAGCTCAATGTATTTGTTCCAGCGCGCAAGGCTTCCTAATATCTGGATTAAGGACTGGCTGATCTTCTCCGTCGTATCTATCTCTTTTGCGGCAATCTATCGGAATCCCCGCTTGTTAGTTAATAAGTTATGGCAAGGACTCTAGGTAGGCAGCATACGCCGATGAGGAAGCGAATAGCGCCCCATACAAGTGAAGTTATGTCAGGCTGCTGCTTTATCAGAACGTCGATGACTCGCGCGTGTTGGTCGATCGTGGTGATCACCGTGTCGACTCTTCGCTGGGCGTCCGAGCGATCGTTATTCCAGCTCTCTTGGAGTTTCGTTACTTCTTGTAAAAGATCTTCGAGGGTGCAAGGCTGTTGTGGATGATTGATAGTCGTCGACGTGGTTCCAATCTTCTTCGCTTCGTCGTTTGTGAGGTTCTCATTGAAGAGCTAAACCAAGCGAAATGCTTTATTATCAGCCACAGCCTCCCCATAAACGGATCACATGACATGATGAAACAAATCGGTCAGAATGAGACTCACCATCAAGCCCATTTCCAAGGGCGAAGTGGGGGTATGACCCTGCAATAAGCCGCCTCGCGTGTTTATTGGCTCAATAGAACTTCCAGCACTGACCAACGCAGCCGCGGATGCCATCTCGGCAGGTAGAACAAGAGCCTCGCGTGTCTCAAAATCCCGTCACGGCGGATGCAATCATGCGGAGAAGGTTGATTCCTGACACGAGCTTTCTACGAGAAAATCAATGATTCACAATGCCTTATTTATCGGTTGGTCTACTGTTCAGCCAGTGCCTTGGAGAGCAAGGTCGCCTTGGGCATCTCGTGGGTGGGAGGTCTTGGGGAGAAATTCACAAGCATGCTGAAACCTGAAAGCAGAATCGGGAGCCGTTCGATAGCTTGTGGCTTGGTAATACCAAGCAAAAGCGATGAGATGCATAATCAGCGCTCTCGCGGCTCGCCTCACTGCTCGCCTCATTTTTCATTCTTACTGTGGGTGGGTTACACAAAATCGACCCCGCTCATCCCGCAGGCGCCCCCCCCCCCCCCCAAAAAAAATCTTTCGATGGCCGTAGGAGTATCACCCTCCAATTTTCCAATGCGCCTCATCTCTGTGGGTATCAAATGCCTTGTCAAAGGAGTTACCAATGTCCCTCACACAACTTGCTCTCATACAAAAAAACCGCCTGCTTAGAACCAAGACTGTATTGTTTCACGGCCGTAAGCTCGTGCTCGTGCTTGCTTATTGGTCATCTGTGCCTGGAGGAATGGTTAACCATTTTCATAAAATTAGGTGAAAGCTGAAGCCTTACCGGCGACGGGGGGGATCCCTTTCTCGTAATTTGAGGTCAATATCCCTGCCTCGGGGGCCTTCTGATTGAAGAATTGCTCTGCCCCCATTCTCTGCCCAGAGAGGATTGAAGTTTCCAGCTTGGGCTTCTCCTCCAGAAATCCAAACCCCCTTGCTGTCGAAATACCCAAAGCCACAAGGACATGTAATCCTTGACCATTGGGCATGTTCTTCCAGCCACTTTGCATCCTCCTTTTCGTATGCCTTCCTGACTGTCCGGGGAGCATCTCTTGCAGGCATCGGGGGCCTTGGCCCTGGCGTGATGCCAGGCATTACCAGCGGACCACAATTTTGTCCACTTGGTCCCTAACGAAGGTGTCAAGAGATCAACAGATTTAAAGATTGGTGGTTTCTTACCCTAACAACAAGCTTTTCAGTTGCTGTTGGTCTCGAAGATTGATATGGGTCGTCTGTAACTTTTCCATCATCCGGTGTAGGTTGTTCAGGCCATATGATGACACCGCAAAGCTTTTCTCCAGGTCTCTTTGGATCACAGTCACAATCGGGAGGGGGAACGAATACTGGGGGGAATTGGTCATCTGGCCACTGAGAACCAAGTCCGTAGCTCATGCTGTAAGATCCCATGGAGCGCCCTGTCATTGGGTAACCACTGTCGTAGCTCCCAGAATAAGCAGTAGATGCTGCTGTTGAACCGCTTTGGTAGTGCTGTGGCGACGTATAACCTGAGGGGGGGTAAGTGGATGAAGTATCCGAACTCGTGGGAGGATAGCTTGAACTAGCAGATAGATAACTTGAACTGGCCGGTGGATAACCTGGATGACCTGGTGGATAGTACTCTGAAGGGCCACCTGCAGACGGATTGTCTTCCGCATTATAAACAGAAGACCGACCAGTCGAGTCGTATTCCCGATCATCGTGGGATGAATCCCCCAGAGGGTATGTGCCTGTTTGCAAGGTGTGATGACTTTCGGCGGGATGCCTGGTAGGTGGCTCCTCTTGAGCTTCGCTACTGTAGGATTGGGAATGTTGGGGTGTTGGGGACACCGAGGCCTCTTGTGATCCCGATACACTACCTGGTGCTGTCGTATATGCTTCACTGAACTCATACTCATACTCTCCGGATTGCTTCAATCTTGCCCGATAATAGCAACTACGTTGGTCACTCCATGTCCAACCTGACCACGCGGGTTCCTCTTGCTTTCCTTTTCCCTTTCCCCGGCTGTTTGGATCAACTTCCAGTCTTGCCATCGTTCCAGCCAGGTCCCCATCGGCGGGCGAAAAGAATGAATCGGTTCCATCGTTATAGCTCCGTGGTATGCTTTCCGAATGCCTCTCGTGTCGATTGCCTGTCTCGGTATGGCGTCGCCTCTCCCTTCCGTCGCGCTTCGAATGTCCTTCTCTCTCTCTTCGGGTCCGGCTCGACATGGCAACCTCTTAGGTGGGAAGTTCAATCTTTTGTGTTCGATGACATGGACCTCAAGAAGATATGGAATCAGAAACATTTGAAGATCGAGATATGACGAAAATCTGCCCTGTTTGCGACACAGCCGAGAGGTCATCGCATGCTGTGGCACAAAAGCAGGGAGGCGCCGCATTGCTACCCGATGCACCTGACCAGCGCAATTACGCCTGAAATCCCCCGCGCAGCCTTCAATCATTCTCGTTGGATGGACCTATGCGAGGCTCAGCCCCGGGGATCTTGCTGCAGACAGATACACATGCCCAGCTTCCCAGCCGCTTGATCGAAGAGCGGTGACAAGGATTTTGTCGCCTCAATCTGAGATCATGTTGGGCTGATATTCTGGGCCTAAGGCACAATGGGCGCTTCATTCATATCTATTTAGATTTCGTATGAAAGAATTGTCCTTTATTCGAGGGGGGTGATGAGCACCTCTGGAACATAGAAAAAATGATGTTGGATAAGTTTGAATTTTGTTCTAGATTTATTAGGCTCCGCGACCCTCCATTTAGTCATGCCTAGGCTGTCAAATGGATGTCACGTGAGACGGTATTAGGCTTTAATTTTCACTTCCATTGGCTAGATCTTCGTTAGACAATATCACCACATCTTTAGTGCCCTCAAATTTGATCTTTTATGTGTTACATTCGAGCGTCTGACAGATTCACAAAGCGGCAAGCGTTCGCCACCCAGAAAGTACGGGACGCCGCATTTATCAGTTGGGAAAAAATATATCTTCTAGGGACTTCAGTGAGGTGCTATTTTCGGGTTTGGGGCCATATTTTAAGTGGAAATAGTATCTTATAGCCTGCGGTTTATTAGAATTTATTGGAGTGATGGGGAATTTGGGAGGAGTATTTGGGCGAGCATCGAAGATGGAATTGATACCTTATACTCCAGCGAGATGAGATCTAGGCCTTCAATCAGCCAGCATAACTAATACGAGGGTTGTATGATCTTGTCGACAATTGAATAACGTTGCCCATATATCTCCTAATATTCCTGTACAAAAATTGAATCCTTTCGAATTCATCGGTGTTTGGAGATTGTAAGTACGTTTTGCTTTTTCCTGACTCACGAAAATATGAGACACGGCACATGGCTCGGTTGTAAGTTCCTTGGTGGCGTCACTGCGGAACTTTCTGCTGCCTACCTCAAAAGTTTTTCTCTGACGGCTACCAAATATTGCAACATCATTCTCAAGGAGAGATGGCCGCTGAGAATGGGTTTCCAGGAGAGCGTGATCCACTTTTGGCCTCCAATCAGCATAACCCAGCGTTGCCTCCCCAAAATGGTACCACAAACACAGTTTTGTGGAGTTTGGTTGCGGTGGTATTTATCAGCATGTCCTACGCCTTCATAGAAGCTCCCGGCTATCGTCTGTACGAAGCTGCGATCTGTAAGAGGTATTACAGAGAACGTGTCCCCTCAGTCATTGGATCAGGTGGTGACATACCGGAGGAGAATTGCAAAATCGACTCAATCCAACAAGAACTTGCTATACTTCTCGCCAAACAAACACAAATCAACTTATGGGCTTGTACGTAACTTCCGGAGTTTGTAATTTTGTGTTCACTAACCTGAGTAGCGCTTCTGGCAAGTGTTCATACTAGAGGTTTAAGCAGAAGAATCTTGCTTAAACTGAATATTGGTTGCCATTTATGCACCCAAGCTTTTATATATTTTCTCTGTGAGAACCAGATCTAATTACTACCACCTCCTTTTTAACGCTAGCTGATAATAATTGTCGAGCAGTATCATGCGGTGATTTGTCAGTAGAGTTAACCTTATTGTCTTCTGCATTCCTCCTCGTTGCATGCGGACCAGAAATGAGACAAGAGACAATATTTATGATTGTTGCAGATGGAACCAAAAAAGATGAACGGTTGGTCTCTCCCTTCTTGGAATCGACTTTGACGGCTGATTCTACTAGTTTGACCGTCTTTATTCTTGGACAGATAATCGTAGTTCCACTGGCAGTTGCTGCAAAAAGAATCGCTGCCATGCTCATGGCATACAATCTATACGTTCCAATAGCTCTGGGGTTGGTGTCTATACTGATAAGTTGGTCAATTATCTGGTTCATGCCATTTGAGGTGATTCGACCATCGGCCGTTGATGTGCCAAATCCTGATGGGCAACAGGAGCAAGCGACAAGTGAAAATGAGCAAGCTGCAGAGGAGCAAAATTCGCTCCAGAACATCATCCTTCAGAATAAGAAGAGTTTCAAAGTGCTCTGTTTATCTCCCGGTATCTTCTTTCTTACATGCACGTTCTGGGTTACTAGCACCTTCGGACAATTGATGGCAGGAACTGTCTTTCTTCAATATATTGAGAAGAAACTTGGATATGACTTGGCAGATGTAAGCAATCCATCCCATTATAATTTTCTGTGCTCTTTTGCTAATGTTTCGAATTCTTTAGGCTTACAGGATTCAAGCTAATAGCGACTTGATGAACATGATATCCCTGATCATCACTTTTCTAGTTTGCGGAAAACTGAATTCCGCTATCTTTGGACGCTTCGGACTCTGGCTGGAGAATAGTATTCTTCAATACTTCCACCGAAATCGGGTGCTATCTATCCGAGAGATATCCATCAGCCGATTTTCCGCCCTCATGATGACGATTGGGTTTCTGGTCATTGGCATCGCAGACAACTACGTTATCATAATGGCAGGCAGGTTTCGGTCATTTTTGTGTCATGGCGATTGCAAGAGCTTACTGTCGAACTTCAGGTCTTGTCATTTGTGCCACTGGGCAAGCTTTCCGAATGTCAACCCGAGCAACCTTAACCGCCATGGTGAAAGATTTCTCTGAGGACTACACAACGGGGCTTTACACGATGCTCTTTTACTTTGATCTAATTGGAGGAACAGTGACCAACTCAATATTGGCATTTGCGTTTGGCAAAGGTCTTGATTGGAGAGGTATTTGGATTGGTCTTCCATTTTTCTACGCTGCAGGTATTTGGTCCATCGTTTGAGTGGTTGCGGTCGTGGTAAAGACTTCTCCCACTGGTGAATAACGGAGATCAAAAGCCCCTTAAATTTCAATCTTTTAAGTGGTTCATGGTTACGGATGTTGATGTGGATGGAATGTCATGATATATACAAGCTTAGCGACCAAAACAACCAGCCGGAGCTGTCGTTTCTATTTGTTTTGTTCAATATCAGCAAAACAGTCGAGTGAATAGCTGGTATTTCACTAGAAATTTGGGGGTTTTACAGACTAAATCATGAAGCCCAGGCTCGGCAACGATTGCTGAGCAATCGATTAGTAATCGATTATATGCACTATTGATTAGCTATCGATTATAATCGATTGGTAATCGATTACTAAACGATTATTACCCCGCACCCCACGAAAGCTAAGCACTAAATTTTTAGTACCTATAGCCTATAATTTAGCGACCGTAGCCCTAAAATTTAGCAATAAGCAGCCTATAATTATAGGGCTCCCTTTTCCTCGCAACCCACAAGCCTCGAAGCTCACTTCTTACTTTCTCTCTCCACTTATTGCTTTTTACTTTTATATACTCGCCCTCTTAACCCCTCCCCCCATTAAAAGTTGCCAAGCTTATGGGCCTAAGGCAGCTAGCGTATGGGGGGGCTAGTGGGAGACTAGTGGATTTGTACTATATTAAGGGGCCTTTCCCCGCCTTTAATAATGAGAACCAAGGCTTTTAACTACTTGAATTTGATATCCCCTAATCCCCCCTCTTACTTTTATACTTTTATATATATAGAGAGAGAGAAGAATTAAAGAGAGAGTAAATATTTTAAGTAATAGTAAATGCTGAGAGAAAAGGAAGGAGGGGCAGTAATATGTGAGTGCGGCCGATTTTTGGTAGGGTAAATCGTAATAGACCCTCTTACTAGTATGGACTATATCTTACCGGACGCAGGAATAGCTATTAATATTATCTCAATAGTACTAATGAGCGATGAGCCAGAGGGAGTCTTTTCAGGGGCTTGTCGTACGGTAAGCTACCTAGAATAGTGTCACGAGCACAAGATCTAGGGCCTGGAAGGCGTGGTTAGACTGTCTCTATTTTGACGATTCAAAGCTAAAGAGAGAAGAGGATCCCGAAGGAGCCTCGGATCTAAATAATCGCGAGCTACGCACGGGCCCACGTGCTAGCTTAAGCTCGGGGTCACGTGCAACGATCAGGTGACTACAGATGCCTCGCTCAGATGCCAGATGCCTCTCTAGCTCTAGTCTAACCCCTACTAGTACCGTATATCGTAACAACCGTAACAAATAGGAGGCAGCTTGAAGCCGAGACAAGACGCAGGAGTACCTTAAGTACTCGAAAAGGAGTAGAGTTCTAGATACTTTCTTTAAATAAGTAAATAAGAGAGAGCCTTACCTTTATTATATATAGTATAGTACTCTACTAAACTCCTGGATATTCTGGCATTAGAAAAGGGGTAAAATCATACGTATGTAGGGATTAGCTCGCTAAACAATCAATACCTTACGATTGTGGCATCGATTGTTATCGATAGTGCAAAACGCCAATCGTTGCCGAGCCTGATAAAGCCTGGTTCTTGAGGTCATCCAGATGTGCATACTTGCATTTAATTGTTGTTTTTAAGGTCCCACTCACTTGTTGCTGGAAGTTGATTTGATCATATATTTTACGGGCAACGCACATTCCCTTTAATCCACTAGCAATGGCATGACTCTCAATGCCATCTGTTTCTTCTCAAGGAAGTAACCCCCCCACGTATAACTTTACCCCACCCTCTTCGGTATCATCGTCGATTTCCATGGCTGAAGGAGATAGTTTCTGTTTCTTCCCACCCCTCCCATCCTCTACTTCGTCGTGACCCTTTCTTTTTGTTCCCATCTTCTTTTCTACATCTCTCGCTGCCTTCAGATCTACTAATTTTGCCAATTCTTCCGCGCTCGTTCTAGGGCTGGATTAGGGCCTGGTCATCGTCGTTAATCAGCATCAATTCCTGGTTGGCCAGCCTCTTCTGCTTCAATCCCCGTCCCTCAGGGTCTGCAGTTTTAATAACAGACAGACGTAGAAATTGCTCAGCTCTCACTCTCGGGAATGTCGATCCCTTAAGAGGCTCGGAGAGCCCTAGGCTTAGTGACTCGGCTTCCGGGTCGCATATTTCAAGTGCGCGGTCCAGTATCTTTGCCTCTACTGCTTAGTCTTCTTTTCCTTTCTCTTCGTGTCGAGCCTTTCTTCCAGGTTCTTTCTTCTCAAGCTCTTTCTCCTTCTCCGAACACTCTCCACCCAAGCATCTTTGGAGGGTTGAAAACAACTGCCCCAAATGCCGCTACGACGGACTTCCAGAAAGAGCGTTCTTAGATGTATTCTATGAAGGAGATGCTCAGTAGCCACAAATCTTTCCAGTCACGGGGGTGACCCGGCTCAAATGCATCAGTTTGTCTATATCTCTTGCTAGTTCCTTTAGCGTAAATGCCATCTAGGTCGTCGCTCCAATTGGGTCAGGTTGCAATGCTTAGGCCTAGGAAAGATCGGTTGAGTTGAAGATGCTCTCTGTCGGCAAGGCCTGTGGCAGTGTGGTCATACCGCCGAACGTCTGTCGTTGTTAGCATGCCATTGGAATTTGTTTAGGGTTTGTGAGATGACATATAGCACTTTCCCAAGAGCGTCCAAGTTCTGTTATATGATCATCCTCGAAAAACTGCATCATATTAGTCATAATTAGGCTTACGATCAGACTTCGACAATAGTCGTTGCAGGTGGGGTCTGATCCTACCGATTCGGCAGAACTGAACGGAAGGGATTGTCGGGATGCAGAGAACGCTCCAAGAACATGCTGGATGCAAGTTAGGTCGTGAAACCAGTGCCTTGCTTGGATGTGCCAAAATCTTTCTTGCGATGGTCTCATGCGTAATCTATGATTTGCCCCTTAACCGTGGTCCTGTTTGGTTAGTTCCCCGACTATTCTTCATATCGCTCACTGTTTTAGCGACTCCAAATTGCTGCATAAGCCTCTCAAAAATATTCAGTCCCACTCCAACGGCAAAATTATATCCGTCTTTAGCGTAAGACACCACCAGTATACGTTTCCTCATTAGTATACTTGCCAGCGGTGCGCAGATGGTTCCCCTTCTAAATTTCCCCAAGCTATGCGGTCCAGAATTAAGAGTGGGTGTGATTCGTAGGCCAAAATTAAACTTGCGAGATGATCTTATGTAGCCTTCCGCCAGAGGAGGAGACGAGTGGAGTAGAACTTGCGTGGAAGGAGTGTGTAGTAACCTGGGGATGCTGGTGGGCAACTGTCAGATGCCTTGAACTGTGATAAAATTGGAGAGCTAGCTAGAGCAGAGAGTGAAGCTAAATATAAGAGAGTAGAGGGAATCAATCACATGAACAATAAGCAGTGGAGCCTGTCTTAAGCCGGGGGTGGCCATAAGAGGGCGAGACACGTGACGCCACAATTGTACCTGCTGAGAGCAGCCGTCTTGGACTTCTGATGCTGGGACATCTCGCCATTTGGTGGCCATTAAGGCGTCGAGACTGCAATTTGCTAAATGGTAAAAGTCTCCGTATGGCTGCTCCTCTGAGTTGGAGGAGAAAGACAATGATTGTAGATTGGATTTAGGGGCTGTTATCACGGTGAAAGCCCAACTATGTGTAATCATCAGCATGGCCAATCTAAGACACGGCTTCAACGCTGCCCAGAGATTTTCATTGTTTCTCACGTTGCAGTCGCCAGAAATAGTGTCCCCAATCTCATCGGTACTTCCAGCCAAAAATCCCTCTGATAGACAGGATGAATCGGTGTCTTTAAATTAGTCGGTATAGCATCGTCCTTGTTCCAGCAGCCGCAGTCTTGGAGTTCTCGTATTGTGAAGTAATTTAGTGCCCCCACTCTTGTATACCCTGTAAAGATAGGTTCTGTCGGTGAATGGATAATGGTACAAATGGGTGGAACCGCGAACTCGTGCACTTCGATTCTGTGCAGCTCCTCCGTCGTGAATAGTCGCTTCGGGTCCTCAAGTAGAATGAGATTCTTTCCTTCATGTCGAGTGCTATATCGGTCTCTGATGTCATAACTTTCAATGATGGCTCGAGAAAATTTCGTGAAACTTGGAAGTATTGAACCTATTCCAGGACCGCTTGACTCGTCTTTCATTCCCCCACTAAATCTTTGAGAACGTCTTTGTCAGCGTCTTGGATTCCCTTAAACTCTCACCTGTTCCAGCCAATTACCTCTAGAGCGTCTAAGATCCAAATCTCAGTTTCCAATTCTCAATAGAAGGAAGTGCCAGCAGCGAGCCCCCTGTCCCTGAGCGGTACTGATAAGCGAGACGAAGCAAATTTTAGCGAGCCAGCCCCTGAATTGGAGGGGGTCGGTTGAGGATGAAAAGTGGCAACTTTGGAAGGTAGATCTGTGTATCTTTGACTATATTAACCCACCATCTCTGTCCTGCGTTCTGCTACCTTCGATTATCCACCCAAGGGAAGTTGACAAAAATTGCACTCCATTTGCATTACCGCAACTCATAATTCATTGAAGAATCAAAACACGGCATAATTAGGCGGTGCCTGCTAGTTCGTGCCTAGTTGAGAAGCCAAATCTCATGCCACCCTGTTTGTCACATAGCAGTCACCACCAAGAGCGCCACATATTTTGCAAGGCGTGTCCCAGCTCAGAAATGCCAACGGTTCAGGAACCTGTCAAGCATAAAAATCCTTTAGCTCGACCCCATATCATAAGGTTCTTCAGCAGTCGCATCCTTCTGCAACGATTCAAGTCGCCACAAAACGACGGTATATGAACGCATTATGAGGAAACGCCTTAAATCTCAATGATGAGGGGGAAATGACAAAAGCATCATCGAATTTCGATTTCTGGCATACGGAAAGCCGTAAGAACGTGACGTCCAAGCGAGAAACGCAAAACGTAAAATCGGATTTTCACGATTCACCCCACCAAAAATCGCGCGCAACCAACTGGTGCAAAATACCTGTATTTGCGTGCGCAACCCTACCTAACTCAAGTCCCTCTATTTAAATCTATTATCGCACTCGTCTATATATATAGAAAACCGTAAGAATATAAAATCTAAGTAAGAAACCCAAAAAGTACTTATAGTTAACTTCACTAAAAATCTGTGCCGCACTCCACGAAAAAGTCAAGCACTAATTTTTTTAGTACCTATAGCCTATAATTTAGCGATAAACGCCTATAATTATAAGCCTTCCTTGTCCTCGTTATTCTCGACTCTCAAAGTTCGCTTTCTACTTCTCGATTTTTATCTTACGCCGTACCACCCCTATACTTCTATATATATAAGAATTAGAGAGAGAGAGTAAATATTTTAAATAATAGTAGGGAGGGGAGGGGCACGGTCTTTGCGCGTGGGCGATTTTTAGTGGTGTGAGGCATGCAAGTAGGTTTTGCGTTTCGTGTTTTGCATGCTACGTTTCTCCCTTGGACGTCACGTACTTACGGCTGTCCGTACTGGCACCACTGGGTAACACGAACTTGGGACGGTTTGAAGCTGAAACCTGAAACCCAATCAAGCAATACCTTGTTTGCGTTTCCGTGTTGAGCAGCCAGGATGAAAAGCAGGTTCTCCCATCACCTCGATTTTCCTTCTGAAGCACGAAATCATCAACAGTTCAACCCTCCAGATTCCTCTCCCGAAAAATCCCACGATGCCGTGATCCTAATCCACCCTTCTAATCCCAACCGATGATCCTCAGTCAAAGTCGCACAACCTCCAGCTGTCCGATCCAAAATGACCAAACGGCTGCCCTTTGCGCTCACAACAACTTCTTAACTATACCCCTAATTAATTAATATTAAGTCGTATAATTATAGTATAGAACTAGGCAAATAATGCCTTTTAACGTGATTTTTAATCAGATTCGTAGTTAACTAGTAATCGAATTTTAAAGCATATAAATAATTTATACTTTTAATTTTTAATTATATAAAACATGAAAGTATTTTAGTAAAATTATATTTGCTTAAGTAAATAATATATTAAATTTATACTTAAAAGGCTCTTTAAGCTTTTATAAATTTATTATATATAATAAAAGCTTAAGTTTTAAAAGCTATTACTAAAGAAATATAAAGTAATAAAAGTTTATAATTTCATTATATATAATTCTATATATAATTTGTTTTATTATTACTAGAAACGAGTTTTATTAATAGTTAAGAATATTAAGAAGTTATCGCAAAATAGCAAGGAACAGTGATTTGCATAAGTGGTTGTCTGATTAAAAGAAGCTCTAAAGGGAGCCTCTGGATCTAGCTAAATAAAAGGGGGCCGCTGAGTAAGCGAAGCTAAAGCTCCCTAGTACCCGTATATACGACAGAAGTCTTATATTACAAATTTATTTTACTTAATTGAAATTTCAGTTTTAATAATTTTTATAATAAATTATTTCAAATTAGATCGAGAAGAAAATTAGTTTATATAAGTCGTTTTTAGTAATAATAAAATAAATATAAGGCATAATTTTTATTTATATAAAATACTAAAATTTATATAAAAACTTATATAAAAATAAACACGTACTTGTAATTCTTATAATATAAAAGATATTAAAATCAGAGAACAGGGAATTAATTACTATAAGATATATAATAATTCCGATTAATATGATTTATGTTAATTAGTATTATAGTAAGCTTTCTTTCGTTTTGTCGTTTTTGGATCAGACCGATTATATCCAGCATCGCAACTCGGTAATCGTGCGTCAGGACTTGCACTAAAACCCCTGCGTCCCTGCGGGTTTAGTGCGTATCACTAATATAGTCGAAAATCAGTAATATGGTCCTTTTTTTGGAACACCAATTTTTAGAATTTTAATGCAAATCGCAGAAAAATATTTTACAGTTTATATGGAGTTCATACTATAATTAATAAATCAAATTCTCTTACTTTCACATCGCATATGCGTGCAGTAAAAAATAGTAGAAATATTACCTATTTTACCTCGTCGGCGACCTCCCAAAATGCTACCATTCTAAGAAATCAATTAATTACACAATAAACACGTCCTAATTCGTGTACCCAATAATCGTTTCCTCCCCACTAGCATCAAATCTAACTATATTACCAAAGCCATTATTATCAAATAAAGGGGGAGGGGGGTAGCTTGACAAAACTAAGCTCTCCAGCCAGTATTTATTATTATGCTCAGACATTGGTGGGTGGCGCGCTCTCCGCCAGAATCTTATTAGCTGCCTCCCGAACTAATTTGAGATCAGTTTTATGGCCTAAATAAACCAGGAAATCGATAAACTACTTGAGGCCCTCCTCCAGGTCAGGATTAAGTGTTTTGTTATAGCCCCCTTTTGTCACGTGCTACGCACAGGCATATATATAGCTTCTTCACCGCCCTTAGGGCACCATTAATTCATACATATTTATACAAAAACACACCCACATTCCACTTCCACAGCTTGTCCAGGCCGTGACACCTTTGGTGTTTTGTGGTTTTCGTCCAGCCAAACGCGCTTTCTACAGTCGATATTTTACCCTGAATTGACGCGCAATCGCAGATTTTTTGACATGTGGGTTCCTGGCATAGAAATCGGAGGCCTGGGCCTTCCTTTTCTCTTCTTCTGGGTCATACTCGGCCATGGTGTTAATATTTAATCAATTAAAATCGATAAATGGGAGAAAAAAGCGACCATATTACTGATTTTCGACCGTATTGCTGCACCGCACTAAACTTGCAAGGGAGCGGTTTAGTGCGAGCGTCGCCGCACGATTATCTTCCCATGACATCTGGGACAAGATAGAAGGAAGGACCGAGCCTATCCCCGGTGTTACCGCGCACGATCCCTGATCAAGCCCCGACTTCCGCGACAGCGCAGCCAGATCCCCGGAACGTGCATAGCTTACGGAAAGCCGTAAGGGTTAAAAGACCAAGCAAACTTGTAACTTACGACTTATGACTTATGACTCGGTACAGACGTGCTCACCCTACTATATGTGGGTGTGGTGTGCGGGCATTTGCGATTTTTGGTGGGGTGAGCACGTCTGTACCGAGTCATAAGTCATAAGTTGTAAGTTAAAAGTTCGCTTGGTCTTTTGATCCTTATGGCTTTCCGTAATAGCTTCGGTTCTGCACCCTACTCTCCCCCGCCCCAGATAAAACGTAGCGCGGCCGGGGCACGGATAGGTCAGAACGGCCGTGCCATCCTTGTCACGCTACGTTTTATTTAAAGGGGACGAGAGTATCCCTTCGTAGCACACATCGCCTCGCACGGGGCTCCCGGTGCCCTCCCTGTATCCCTTCCCCGGTACGTCAGAACCGACTTCCATGGAAGGATCACGGAGAGCCCAATCGAATGTGACATTGCGAGAGACGCGGGTCCAAGCGCTTGCAGTGCAGCGCATTGCAGGCTGTCAAGTTCGCGAGCGATGGCTGGGGGATGACTGAGGGACGTGATGTGCAGTGGACATGGACTGGCTGTACAGGCGGTGATTGTGTGAAGTACCGCGGAGAATGCCAGCGATGATGGCAGAGAAGCCTGATAAATATGGCTGACTGGTTGATTACCGGACCGCCGCAGTTGGTTGAGCTGCTTGAAAAATGTCATGGCGAGGAGAGACACGGCAGGATTGTAAGAACTTTTGCAAGGTGTGAGGTCGAGAGGGATAGAGGATGGAAAGAGATAAGAGGGGAGATATGCCATCCGATTTGAGCTGTCGTCCAAGCCCTCAATCGAATGTATCTTGCCAGATTGAAATCCTATTTGGTATTCTGTTCTATAAGCATTGATGTTTGTTGATCATTGAAGTCAAGATGTCAGCACCAGATCTAACCCCCGAGATGATGGCAAGGAGCGGAGAGACGAGGTTTCCTGATATCCTGGCTATTCTCCTCGTCGAGTGTATCTTGTCGACTACTGTGGTTGTTCTGAGACTTATTACGCGGTTTGCAATTATTCGGAAGCGGGTCCCGATGATTACATGATTGCTGTTGCTCAGGTATGAACTCCTAATTTTCAAGACTTGGCATTGTTTAATTTCTTATTTCTAGGTTATGGCCATCGGAGCTGGTGTTATAATTGGACTTGGTAAGTTTGAGCATGTCTTTATTGTTCTTATAAAAGACTGACGATATTTGCAGAGGCCAAATTTGGAATGGGCAAACATGTTTGGACTGTTCCTGAGGAGAATCTCACCCCCTACTTCCAAGTCAGTTATTCTGAACACGGCAGAACTTGATACTAACGAGGAGTAGTCGCTCTACGCCAGCATTCTCGTCTATAATGGCGCGCTGACCTTGGTCAAAATCTCCATTCTGCTTCAGTACCGCCGAATTTTCGCAACGCCAGGAATGCAACGAGCCACAACAATTGGCCTTGTTATCATCGCCGCCTGGGGATTCACAGTTACCATGATGCTGTCAATGCTCTGTGTGCCCATCCAAGCTCTCTGGGATCATGCCGTGCCGGGCCATTGCTTGCCTCTCCTCCCAGCATACTACGCCCCGGCATGTATCAATATTGCAACCGACTTTGGCACCTGGGTTCTGCCTTTACCCATTATCAAGTCGCTGCAGCTACCACGTAGACAGAAGGTCATGCTCTTGTTCATCTTCGGCCTCGGCTTCTTGTAAGTTTCCCTCAATCCTTCTGCTAGGCAATAAAACCAATCTTGATCAGCACCTGCATCATTTCTCTCGTACGTCTCTCTGCACTCAAAACAGCAACAAAACTATCAGATCCAACGTGGAACAATACAGATGCGGCAACTTGGTCATACCTCGAGCTTAGCATGGCGATTCTCGCGGCATGCCTGCGAATACTGCGAACATTGGCGATCAAGTTCATTCCCGGTTTTATTTCTGGCTCTTCCGAACAGTCTCCGCCGAACTCAAATGGCTACGTACGCCAAGGACCAGCAAAGCATTCGGCCTGGGTTCCTGCGAAATTCTCGAGGCCATCCGAAACAAAGGGAACAGTCTCAACCGAAGCAGAAAGCACAGAGAACTTGCATGGTTCCATGTATAATTTGCAGTCTATCCCACCACATAAGATTGCCGTAGAAAGGGAATACACTGTGAGGACAGCGGCTGCCGTCTGAGGCAGATGATGAAAGAGACAGAGAGGAAGAAGAGTGTATTATACTTGGTGGAGAAGTGTTCCTGAACCATGAAAGGCGGTTTCATTTAACGTCTGCGGCGAGAGACATTCGCTTTTACGATTCTCACAACGAGACTTTTGTACCTTCACCAAATGGAATATCTGCTGTCGTTGAACAGAACACTCTCAGCGATCCGTATCTAGGTGTTCAACTCTAACACCACTTTGCACGGACGAGCAATCAATCGTCGCTGAAAGAAACTTGCTCTAGTGGTCTTGTTGATTGCCTTTGATCTCGCTCTCATACTGACTGACGCTCTAGCGTCTTGCAAAGAAGCTTCTCTCATCATCTGTGGGTGAAACTGCTTCCTTCACACTGCTGGCACGCACGAGAGCAGAGGCAGCCGCCTCTGGCAAAAACTTGGACTGTCCGAGTTTCACACAGAAATTCGTTAAGGTAGAACTTTCCACTGCAGCTATTCAGTAAAGCGTCTTGTGTCGTTATGCTGCAATGTGCTGGATTGGGAAACACTGCGATGCAACCAAAGCTGTTCACAATCGAGGTGGTTTCTTGCCAGTTTAGCTTGTAGAGAATGCCACACAAAGATCTGGGATGAAGATTTTATCCAGAGACGCAGGAACATCCGAGCGTATTTAGCAGGTCACCAAAAGCAAGGGGTTGGACGCCATGACGGCGTTGCCTGGCACGTCCTCATCCTTGTTTTCGGAACCCTGGTTTTCAAGCCGCCTTCAAAGTCCAATCCGTTCTCGGATCTTGGCACGACTCTGGGTTCGGGGATCGCCTGAACGGAGGTAAGGTAACATCCCGCCTTAGAAGAGATCAGAATCTGTGCCCTGGAGAACGAGTGGAGTTGAAGCTCCGACTTCCAACGGTATTGCTTTTTGCCTAAATGTTCCTGGGACACAGGTTAACCAATGCTCGTCATGGTGATAATTATATGATCTATAAGAAATAATAGAAAATGACGGCCAATGTTCTCTGCAAGAGAGACGAAGAATTTTGCATATCGCACCCAGTCTCTGCACCCTGGTTCTTCACCCTTGTCTCGCTTAGACTTGCTTAGAAGGGTTCACTGGCCAACCGCCCTAACTACTCAACCGCCCAACCAAAAAAACTTAATATTTAATCAACGCCTTTATAAATTCATGATTCCCATTAGATACTAATACTTTATAGTATTCTCGACCCCCTAATAGCTATATATTACTTTAAGACTATATAATACTGCTAAAATTATTTGTTTAGTAGCGTTTTTGGCATTTTCCCCTAATTTTTATTTCGCAATTTCTATCCCTTGCTAATTCCTATGCATTTAATTAAATAACTTATGAATGTCCTAAATACTTCAATAATATATAGCTTAGTATAAGAGAGCATATTAGAAGGTTTTTCGCATTATTATAACAACTTTTCTTATTAATTTTTCTTTAGAGTAAGAATTAGTAACTTGTATTTAGTGAGGTAATAAACCTAAATTTAGGTACCTAATTCTTGGGGCAAAGAATCGCTCACATTATATAAATATTTGAATTGCAATTTAGGTACTATTCGATTTTTCAATTATAAAAGCTCGTATTATATATTAATCAAATTCGCTATTATATAGTGAACCTTATGCCTCCTTTTAATTGGTTAGCTGCTTCTTGCCTCACTAATAAACGCTGTCATGCCTTTGCATCTTATGCCTTTGGTTTTGCTTCATTAATTCGATCTCAAAGGGTTTCGTATACAATTCCATGCTCTCTCCGCATTTCCCAATGGATTTAGCCTTCTTATAATCGAGATATCGTTATGAGCCATCTGTAATCGCATGCTCTCTGAGAGCTCGTTAGGATTATTCGCGAATTCGGTATAGCGATTTTTCTTTACAGACATGTTGAGGGGCTAAAAAAGCTTCAGAAAGCAGTTGATTTAATAGTAAAATATTATGTGGATGTTGAATTATGATTTTTTTTGGAAAACTGTGATTTTGGGCGGTTGGCCAGTGAAACCTTCTATGTAAGGCAAATTGCGAGTGGGAACTCCTCTGTTTCTTGACCGGAACCTCGACACCTCCCAACCCTCTGGCCCACGTGACCCGCGCCGCCTTTGCTCAGGGCAGCTTAGGCCTGGCTCAACTTCGGCTGAAGTCTACTCAGGTCTGCTCACCTATCTCACTAGAAATTATCAATTTTTAACGAGGAGCCCGAAAAGGCCCCCTTTCCCAGCCAGGGGTCCCAAATCTACTCCTACTAAACTTATTTCCAGATAGTTATCCTAGTCTGCCTGTCTTTATTCGTAAGACCTTTCTCCAGGTCTTATTTTAGTTTGTTTTATACCGTCCTCCGCATTTTGCCCAAGGCTACGTACTTTATAAATGACCACTTCCCTCTTGCCTTCGTATCTTTTCTCACCTATCTCTTCACCTATCTTCTCACCCTTCTTCTCACATATCTCACCTTATGTTCCCTCTCTCTTCTCTCTTCTCTCCTCTCTCCTCTCTCCTCACCTATTTCTCTAGAAAGATGCTATTATTCTCTCTGAAGTTACTCCGCCTTCCCACTAAAAAATAACCCATCAAGCCCAGGCTGCAAATCCTCTAAAACATCAGGCATCTCAACCTTCTCATCCTTAACAACCCTATCCCATTCCTCCCTCGTCCATCCCGCCTTAAATTCAACCCTTAATTCAAACTCTGCAGCACATTGCTTCGCTTCCTCCAGGTATTCCCACGGCCAAGTGAGAGGCTCTGCAATTTCACTCACAGGAACCTGTTCCGGGGGTCCTCGTAGCAGTCTACGAAGATGATAAGGATTCTCATTCGGATCAAACAAAACTACCATTTTCTCCAACTTGCTTACCGGGTACTTTTCCTCCTTCAATTTTGCGAATTCCTGTATCCACGTAACCTGCTCCTTCCCGAAATCACTCCGGCTTTCAGAATGTTGGTCCTCGACGCTGAAACTAAGAGTCACGCAGCGAAGATTTGGAGCTGATAGCTTTCTCGCGGCGTCGGTGGCGGTTTCTGAGCGGATGAGGTTGTATGCTGACATTCCCAACTCTTCGAGATGTAGAAAAGAAGAGAAGTCGGGTGATCCGGTACGACCGACATAGCCCCCTGAGAGCATTCCTATGGTGACGCGCTTTAGTGAGGAGCGGTGAATGTCGAGGATTCTCTGCGTCGCTTCCATTGTGTAGTATTTCCCGCCAGTAGAATGTGAGAGCCAGATCGAAAGATCTGTCAGAGCTGAAGGCCAACGGAGGATGTGTTCCGTAACATTCTGTAGACAGCTTGGATCTCGCAATAACACCTTGGTTACATTTCCAGTATGATACCTATTTGGTGGTAGGAGGTGCTCAAGACCGGTTCGCGTGATTGAAATCGGTTCTCCTGGCCACGGCGCAGAAGTATCTTCGGGATTTCTACCTGGACCGTACCGAGACAGGTACAAGCTTTTCAAGGAGGGTAAAGTAAAGTCCCTAAAAAATAGCTGTAGTGATGGACCTCCCAAGTCCAAATGTTCAGATATATCCGGGATATACACTGAGTGAAATGATACCACGCGTAGCCCAGTGCAGCATTTGATGACAGCACTAAGAATACGACAGACAGCAGCATGAGCAACGGTCCGAGATATCGATATGCAAATGTTCCGTGGGTAGCCTCGAAGATGCGGACGAGTGTACAAAAGATCAAGTAGTCCTCGCATGCGCGAAAGAAATATTGTTGTATGGTAATGAGTCATTATGGTGCGAAATAAAACTGGCTCGTAAATACGTCGCCATTTCTTGCAAACGAGCATTAACGTTAAGGGAAATCTCTCTTCGTCCTTGACAAGTTCATAGCGGTGTCTTTTGGGAGGTATGTAACTCAATATTTCGAAAAGAACTTCGTCTGGCAAGACGGAGATATAGTATGGTTCGACAGATTCAGCTGCACGAGCTCGCTGCGGTTTCTGGAGATAGAGCTGCCCGCCCGGAGTTCGTCCAAGATGCGACTGCCTCTGTATCGGCATAGCTACTCCTAACAGGACATGGGTGTCGACGTGATGAGATGCTAAAGTCAAAAATCGTGCCAAGAATGAGGTATATCAGAAAAGTGGTTTATTAAGGTTTGATGAAAGCTGAGGACCAAGTATGATGTTCTGAAGGAAGTAAGGCTGTCTAGTCACGAGGCTAACTCCCAAAGAGGAAAGGCTGGAGACGCACCCTTCCGACACGTGACCTACTCCTCAGTTGATCGCGTCGCGACTCAACCTCATCTTAATTCAATCAAGAATCAAATCTGATAGACTGAGAATATAGTAACGCGCTCCTCAAGCAGTAAGTCCAATTTGAGCTCAAGAAATGTAGGAACCTATCTCAACGTGAAGCTTTACTGGACTATACAGCAACTCACTCCGTTTGCTACATAACTACGGCACAATTGGCAGCCTCGTCAAAAGCTCTTCCCCTCCATCTTTCATCAACTCATCAACGCCACCCCTTCGTCAGTACTCAATTCGGTGACTTGAGCCTTGACCCCGAAATCTTCTTGCGAGAAGGTATCACCAACGAGCCTCTGCCCGAGTCTGCCGTGAAAGGCCCTCATCCGACCCCGCAGTCTCTCCTCGATCTTGTGTAACCACCATGGAGGTACACGTTCGCCACGTCCCAGAACGGAGCACAGAGAATGCGTTCTGGAAGTTCCTCAAGCCTTATCTCGACAAGCTATCGATTCGTTGTGTGCATTGCCAAAAACCGCGAGGAAAGACTCACGCAACATTGACATTCCTCTACATTCCCGACGCCGAGAAGTTCCTGCATCATCATGGACAGTCACAAGCCGCTCCAGGTCGCCGTCCAACGCCATTGAGTGTCACCTGTGTCAATCTCCGGTTCCTTGGGCAGCCCGTCTATTTCGAGAAAAGCAAGAATGATGCCAACCCATACCTCGTCCGAGTCCTCACCAAGGAGGAAAAGGATCGCCAAATCAAGATCACGAATACAGCGACTATAAACCACTCAAAGCCATCTCAGATCTTTCCGGTATTCTTCGACTGCTCTTCCATCTCGTGCGGTGTCTGGAACTACATCGGCGCCAGCCTTGTCTTCGAACCGCAGTTGACATGGACCTTGAAAGGCCATCTGAAATTCGGGGAGCTTAGCATGATTCTGAATTCCGACGATGGTACTCGAATCGACTTTCGATACTTTGGTGTTGTGGACGTTACAGCCGAGGATGGGTCCGAACCCTCATTCATCTTCTCGATGTATGAGCCCCCGCACTTCTTCCAAAGGATTTCAGACCCGCTGGCGGAACTCATGGCGCAGCTAGGAATTCAGACTGAACAGGCTGCAGTCCGGAGTAATGGCCCTCAACGACACCGTTTGCCCTGCCTCGACGACGAACACAAACATGTTGCCGGAAGCTGCTTTGTGTATCGAATTGTCCTGAAGCAGGATCTTTCGGAACAAGCAGGCGGTAGTGACATGAGCAGTCGGATGCAGTCCCTCAAAATTGCTCCTACAATACCGCGGATGATCTTTCGGAAGACACAAATACATCAACCCCAAGAGACTTTCGCTGAATCATTCCGTCGACTACACGAGATCCTGTCGAGCATTGACTCTGGTTTCCCGTTTGTCTTAGCATTCCAGATTCAGAAGCTTGCCCAAGACGGTTTTCTTCCTCCGAACACTGTAATTCAGCTTTTACCAGAAATCAAGAAGATGACAACTCGGTCATCCGCCCCCATCTGCGTCAAAACCATTCGGAAGTGGTTCAACCAAATCGAATTCCCAGGACCGGATACCGAATCCACAAACTTCCAACTCCCTAAATTGATCAAATCGATGAAGCAAAATGAGGAGCAGTGTACGAGAGAGGAAATTGTCATGGATGGAGAGACGAGGACACCGGATAATGTTGCAGTCATTCACAGAGTCAAAGTTACTCCCGCAGCAATCCACCTCTACGGGCCCGAGGCTGAATCCAACAATCGAGTTCTTCGAAAGTACCCTAATCATCATGACTACTTCCTTAGAGTTCAATTTTGTGACGAAGATGGACAGCCGGTTCGGTTTAATCCTCGCGTTTCCAACGAACAAATTCTTCGTGGTAGATTCAAAAACATCCTTAAAAAAGGAATCAATATTGCGGGACGAGAATATTCCTTCCTCGGATTCTCTCACTCCTCTCTCCGGGCCCAGTCCTGTTGGTTTGTGGCACCGTTCATTTACGATGGGAGTGTTCTGTGGGATCGAATGATTATTCAAGATTTGGGCGACTTCTCAATGATCCGATCTTCGGCAAAGTGCGCTGCCAGAATCGGACAAGCCTTCTCAGATACTCGAACAGCTGTTCCAATCGACACTGAAATCATTCGGCGTGAGCCAGATGTGACATTCAATAGTCGAGTGTTCAGCGACGGTGTGGGAACAATGTCCTATTCAGTCATGTACACAATCTGGAACAGACTTCCCAAGGCTCGTTTGGTCAAGCCCACGTTGTTCCAAATTCGATTTCAAGGTATGAATTTCCGTGGACCATGCAACTGATGCCGCCACTGACGCCGCTGCAGGAGCCAAAGGTATGATTTCATTAGACCCTCGACTGGAGGGGGATGCTCTGGTGCTGCGCCCATCGATGATTAAATTCGAAGGGTCAACATCTACGGACATCGAAATCTGCGATGCCTCGTACAAGCCATTGCCGATGTACCTGAACCGACAGTTCATCAAGATCTTGGAAGATATGGGTGTCGACGGTAAATTCTTCCTCGACCTCCAAGCACGAGAAGTTGAACGCCTCCGCATGATCACGGGTAGCCCGGTGAACGCGTCCAGCTTCCTGAGACGCCAAACAATCGGTACTCCGATCCACTTCCCCTGGCTTATTAACAAATTGGCAATGCTGAATCTGGATTTTCAAAAGGATGGGTTTTTACGTGATGTCTTGGAGATGGCTATTCTCGTTGAGCTGCGTCTGTTGAAGCACAAAACTAGGATCCCTGTCGAGAAAGGTTGGCATCTCCATGGATTGATGGATGAGACTGGATTTCTAGAGGAAGGGCAAATCTACTGCTCTGTCACGGTTGACGGTAAATCGCAGGCAATTCTAGGGAAAGACTTGATCGTCACGCGGGCACCCGCCCTCCATCCTGGAGATGTGCAATTGGCGGAAGGAGTCATGCCACCACCTGACTCTCCACTGCTTTCACTTTCTAACTGCGTCTGCTTTAGTCAAAAGGGTGCCAGAGATTTGCCAAGTAAGCTCAGCGGAGGCGATCTTGATGGAGATCGGTACTACATCATGTGGGACAAGAATTGTAGACCCCAGAGATACTTTGCTCCTGCAGACTATCCACGTCAGAAGCCAGATGAGCTCAACCGACCTGTGAATAAGGATGACATGACGGACTTCTTTCTCAAATTTATGGAGACTGACCAACTTGGTCGTATTGCTGTACTACATCGTGTTCTCGCCGACCAGGAGGTGCTTGGTACATCGGATCCGAAATGTATCATTCTGGCTGAGATGCACTCCACTGCTGTCGATTTCTCCAAGACAGGAATACCTGCAAGTATTCTCTCTTCATTTGTAAATCCATTCATCGCTGACATCCGCACGTTCAGGTGGATTTGTCGAGGATGCCGAAATACAATCCCTGGCGCCCCGACTTTGAAGCCCCAGGTCCACATGTAAGAATTGAGAACAGACATGGAATTAGTTTTGAAGATCCGGATGATCGAGATCCCGGCGACCTTGGCGACGAAGACGATGATTTCTCTCACTATCGATACTACGAGAGCACCAAGATCCTCGGCAGGCTCTATCGTGCTATCGACGAGCGTCAAATATTCAAGGACATCAAGCGCCGTGCGTCGAGCCAGAATGTTACCAGTAGAACGACAGTCATTGATGAAGTTTGGTCGTATGTCCAGCGAACATGCAAGCTCATTCAATGGGAGCATCATCGAGATTGGGCCAAGGATATTCGCGACATGTGAGTAAACTTTCTACACCTTCTTGATTTTGAAACTTCACTAATACATGTCCAATATCAGGTACGAAGAGGCACTCCTCGTTATAATGACAGAGTACAGCGAGCATCCCGTCCGCCGTCTGACCGAACTTGAGGCCTTCATCGGAAACATCCTCGGCAAAACCGGCGCACAGAGCAGACACCAACGAGAGCTTTCCACTAACATGAAGGACAAATTCGAAGAAGAAGCTCTCTTCATCGTGAACTGCATCCTCAAAGAAGATGGAGACTGGTCCGAGGAGTCATTGGAGCGGAGCATGGCGTGCTTGGCCGTCAGTCTTGAGGCACCGAAGACGTACAGGAAGCAGGAGCATCTGCTAAGCTTCAAGTATGTTGCTGCTGCTGTTTGCTTGAGGGAGGTGGAGAGGTTTGAGATGTTGCCTGTTGGAACGGGGCAGGCGTTACTGGAGTATGTATCGTGATTTGCATGGCGCCAAGAGAAACGGGGAATAGCACCAAGGCGTTGGCAAACTTACTTGTGGTTATCCTATGTGTGGGCAGCTTGGACCGGGAAATATAAGTGCGTACAGTCACTTTCAACGAAATGAATTATGAAGAACTCTATTATCCAATTCTGCTTCTGAGCTTGTTTGTCATCTTCACCTGATTTGTTTAATCGTCGGCAACTTGAAATAAACCGAAGTCTATCAGCCTCATCCTCATTGTAATGAACTCCAGTAGCTTTTTAATTCTGAAAATTGTTACCGTTGGGGAGACGCTAAACCTCCTCGCTGTCTCAGAAAGGACCCTTGGGAGCTGGTGCCTACGAAATGCATATTTCACATCCAAGCTCGAGTGGATCGCCCGGGTAGCAAACGCTGCTGTTTCCTTGAGCAGCACAGCCTTGCATGAGCCTCCACTTCCAGACGTGTTCATGGTTGCTCCCCGCCTGCGTGGTGGTCCATGCCAGCACACGATGCATCTCGTCCAACCATAATGTCAGATATGTTGTGGTGTGGGAGGATGTGGGGGCGGGAAGCTTATGCATGCATCTATCGCCCCGGTTTTATGAGTATTTTCATCCAAGGCTCACTTCAAAGACCCCAGAGCCAGCCTCTCCCAAACCCACCACGGCTCAGACCGAATCAGACAATTCAGGGCTAAAGTTCTTCGGTTTTTTTGTCCGCCCCCATCTTCCCCTCCCTCCTATGCCAATCTTCGAACCATTTCCCATTCCTCACAGCTCAACATCCAACGTCGGTTACCATTCTAGAGCCTGTTTTCTGACGCTCAGTTCGCTTTTCTCGGGTCTGCTCGTCAGCTCCGGATTTTCGTCCGGGGGGGTTGATTAACTGTTGCAGCGCAATCTGGCGGAGCCTCGCCTAAAATGCCGTCATACGAATGTTTTAACACGAGCTCAGCCAGCGCCGTCAATATTCTTTTTCAATACTTACCCCTGGTTGGCGCACTTCTGGGCTCTGTTCTGCCGCTGTGACTGTTTTCAATGGCGTTCTTGTTGTCTCGTGTGCAGATATCGGACGAGACTGTCTCGGTGCGTCCTCATCACAGATAACACAACTTGCAGCAGTGGCTGCAGGGAAAAAACCTGTTGGGGATCGCTAAATTCTGGACGCAGTTGCTAAATGGCGGAGTTGACTTAATTGGTCCCGTTGCATAGCATGAGTCAAGCACAGCCTTGTTGATGTTTCTGAGTGACGGCCCAGCGCTGTTTCAGTGAGCTAGGCCCGAAGACCTCACCGAGGCCTTGTGGAGCGTAACAGATTCTGGCCTGTGTCACTTAATATGGTTCTTCTCACTTCCCTCCATGCCTTGATATCCTGCTCTTGTCAATCTACCGGAAAATGCCAGAGTTAGTTAGTGCGGCTGTGGCTAGCTCGATCACTATTGTCAACGGAACCTTTTCGCTGTTCCAAACATTTTTCAGACTTGCTGAAGTCGACGAAGACCTCAAGATTTGCCTCAAGCTTCTTGCAATTGTGGAACGAGACCTCAACTATGCAAGACGTCAGCTTCAAAGCCGCAGATCCAACCTGAGTCACCAAATTACATCCACAGATTTCCAGCATCTCGAGAGTGCTATTGGAGACACAGAAGCAGCAACATTATCTCTAGGCGAACTCGTCGAAGCATATCGTGTGCAGCGCGATGTCAATAAGAGAATATCGCCCGTGTATCGATTCAAATGGGTAGTGCAAGGGAAAGATCGGTTCGCGAGTCGACAAGGAGTTCTAAACATGGCACACATAAGTCTTTTGGCAGCAAGTCAGAAAATGGATACTGCTGCTCTAGCAGTCCCACAATCTGCCACCCCTCCTCCTTACAGTCCAGGAGCGCTGGCGGGCAATTCGAAGATCTTGAGAAGTCCGAGTCAGCAGCGCACCTTGAAGGGCAAAAGCTCTATGATTTTGCTCTCCCTCGAAGTAGAGGCTCCTCAAGTACGCGTACCATCTACACCCAGTTCTCAAGATCGCGCATCAAGTCCGACGCAATCGAGGCGCGTAGTGCCAACTGCTCCGAGGTTCCGCCGAATGCCTCGCACAGTAAATAGAGAAAGAATGGGTGCTGTGGTGGAAGAGGAAAGATTGGGTAATACTATTTATGGCTGACGGCAGTGAGTGCAGGATGTCCAGATTAGAATGACTGTACGGCATTGCTTTTCATACGTGCTTTGGTCATGTGGATTATGAAATAATGAATGGAGGGGACTTTGCTTCGAATTGTAATACTATTCTACGTTCCTCTACTTGTTATACGAGGACCACTCGGTTCAAATACACTTTAACCTGTTAATAATAATGCGTCAAGAAAGATTTGTCTACCACAGGCTCTGATACCACAATATGTTGAGATAATTTGCACCCATATTCGTCTCTGGTCTTGAGAAGGGCCGGGAAATACGTTATGGGTTTCGCTGTTTGCCTTCTCGGAGCGGTGGAAGCTGGTTCCGGTGTGAATTTTGTCTCTGGTCCGTCCAAGAACGAGGTCTCTTGCTGTGTCTCTCTTGATCGCGTGCCGGGATGCTCTTGAAGCCTTAATGGAGGTTCATTGAGCTGTAGCTCAATGGCGCTGACGTCTTTTGGGAGCGTTGGAGAGGGTTTATCTTTAATTTCATCTTTGCGATAATTTTCATCGTTTGACCCCATTTCATTTTGCGTTGTCGGCACATTGTGTTTACTGCCAGGAGTTACCCAGTCTTGGTGGGACGCCGGCGAGAAATTGGATTCAGACTGAGACCTCAGAGAGAGAGATTGGTCATAATGAGGATGCTGAGGATGCGAAGGATGTAGACGGTGCTGGTGCCGATGCTGAGTGTCGGATCCCCCGGTAATCGTCCGTTGCAAACTAGCTCCAGATTTCTCTTCCACAAACGTGTCAAAGTTTTGACTTCTCCAAGTGCTAGGTGGGTAGAATTTTCCTTGTGGTTGTTCTCGAGACTTCTTTTCCTTCATAGACTGACTACGTCCGAGCCGCCTCCTTCGTCTCCGCTTCGGTGGATCAGGCTCAGGTTCTAAGCCGTTGTCCAAAGGTGGGTATTGCGTATTGCCGATATTGGTAACTAGCTCTGAGGCTTTTGAGCTGTGTGCTAGGCCATTATTCAGAACCTCAAGTTCCCTTTGAGTTTCATCTGACGGCCTTACGGCCCAATTGAGCTCCCAACCGCAAGGTTGCCCAAACAGTAATACCCCAAACTCCGTCCCTATCTCAAGTAGTCTTCGAAGATTATCCAACCTTCTCCCACTGCCTTCACCGGTATGAACAGTTTCTGCAAATGGACTGAGGATCTCATCAAGTAAGTTTAACATTGCATCGATCCTCAAGCCCGAATTCCGAAGCTGTACTGTCTTGGTCTTCGGGCCGGAAAGAAGAAACATCCCGAGACGTCGCCATTCACACAGAGCTACATCGTCCACTCCAAGAAATTAGTTTAAGCTGCAACTAACGTCAGGTAAGTGGTTACCTTGTGAAGTTTCCTTCGAGCGAGGGGTCTCCTTAAAAGCAGTCATGAACAGTACAATCTCCTGTGGAAGAAGAGAAATGTCAGGATTGCCATGGAAGTCGATGCCCAAAGCTATCGCTTTCGAAATTACGATGCGAATAAACGTTTCTCTGTGAGAGTTGAAATGATAGAGATTGTATGCGAGTCTCCAGGTCGCTTCCCTGTCTGATGTGAAGAGTTTCTTTTCCAAGAGGGCCAATATCTCCTCCTTCGACAGGCCTATCGGCTTGTCGTGGTAATACTTTGCATGCGAATCTATGAAGTTCTGAAGTAGCTTCAGTTTCGATCCTATTTTTCGATCCTCCTCGGGCTGCGCCAGATAGTCATCGAGATTCATGAGTGTGGTGCGATACCTTTCATCCTGAGATAGCTGCTTCTTTGATCTCAAACGAGCCATCATCTCAAGAAGACGATCGCTGAAAGATTTCTTCAATATAGAATCGTGTTCCATGACGAGTAGTAGTGAGTGGGAGAACAAAATCTAACAGAACACCAATTTGAGAAAAGGCTGGCGAACCCAGCTGAAGTATGATCATCAGGAGGCTTGCCAGGCTGGCACCAATAGTCTAGTCCACCATGCGGGCGTTCTCAAAAATGGAAAAAGGTTGATTATATTGCATCGTGGTTGCATCAGGCTGTGCAAACGCCCAAAAAAAACCCCCTTTCGAACCTGTGGGGGCTGGAGAACCAAGCCTCATGTTCAGCCTTCCTGTCTGCCCAAGCCACAAACTCTCAGGCAGCACCTGTACTGGCAAAATGGCAAATTTTGCCTAACTCATGACTAATTTGTTATTTTGTATTCTTGTCGCATGGCCAACTTGTTCTTCCATTGTTTGATATTCGTTTCACACCATCAGTAGACGTCGAAAATGTCGTCGATACAGCCAGAAATCGTTGTTGGAATTGATTTTGGAATGACTTTCACAGGTTGCCACCCCCATTTTACTGTAGTACGATCATTTCTAATCGGTAGTCTTCGCAGGCGTTGCATATTCCAATAGGAATATGCCGCAGCCAAAGGTCATTCAGACATGGCCGGGGAAAAAACACGAAACTTCACGCAAAGTACCTTCAATTATCAATTATCTGCCATTAAGAGACGATCCCGAATGGGGGTTTCCCTGTCAATATAGTGAGGGCAAGAAGGAGTGGTTCAAGCGGTGGCTAGAACCAGAATTTCTAGATCCGCTTCGCGCTGCTGAACCTGATTCAGATCTTCCCTCCACCGCAGAGGTTAGAAAATGGTACAAAGACTACATGCGATGCCTGTACCTCTACATAAAGGACGTACTTCAGCCCCAAATGGGCGGCTGGGAGTCCAAGCGTGTTGAGTTTCTATTCAGCCTTCCCACTACGTTCGGATCACAAGCAATCAGCACAAGCCTCCGAGAATTGCTTGTTGAAGCTGGATTCAGCCAAGGCCGCCATACAATTGAATTTGGCCTTACTGAGCCCCAAGCATCAGCCGTTGATGCAGCAAAAGACAGTTTACAGACTTTCGAGAACGGAGACGTCTTGCTTGTGTGTGACGCTGGAGGAGCTACAACTGATTTTGCGCTCCTCGAACAGATTTCTTCCGAAAATGAGAGACCATGGCTTCAAGAACTAGCAAAGATCCCAGGTGTTGACGTCGGAAGTACGAATATCGACTTGGCATTTGAGCTTTTAGTCGACGAGCGGCTTCGAGTAGGCAGGGTGGACCTTGCTGAGAACACTGCGTGGACCATGATGCACAGTGCCGAATTTCAAGAGTGGAAATGTAGTTTTGGGGACCGCTCAAACGAAGATGTTCTGAAATTCCTCGTTCCTGTTCCATATCTCCTCGAGTCCGTGTCGAACAGCCAAGCTGGTATTGAAAGGGGCAAAATGGCTTTCTCACAGTAAGTTAACAAACAAGCGTCCGGTTATCGGACCAGATAAATACTCATTTTTCTGGCCAGCGACGACTTCAGGTCTCTTTTCGACCCTCAGGTGAATCGAATAATAGCTCTCGTTAGGAAGCACTTAAACAATATAGCGCAAGATAAATATGTGGTAAGTCCAGTTCACCTCTTTTCCAGTGGTGCTAGCTAAAAATCCACGATAGAACTATATGATTCTCTCTGGTGGTCTTGGGAGTTCGCCATACCTTCTCTCTAGACTTCAAGATGAATTCGTAAAGATCACGCATCGCGCTGCACCCTCTCTTAGGATCCTTGTTTCTGCTGAGCCGTACGTATAGACAACCCGTGGTCAGTTCGGGAATTAACGTTAAAGCCACACAGTCAATTAGCTGTCTGCAGAGGCCTCGTCATTGATCGAATGCAAAAGATCGTGACTAGGAAGAATGTCCTGGTAGGACGGATATGCCCAGCGTCATACGGCGTGCTGTGTGACCTGCCATATGATAAGAAAAACAAGCAACATGTCGGTCAGGAAACGTATAGATATCCAATTGATGGATTAATATATGTCAAGGATCAAGTCGATTGGATGATCAAAAAGGTTGGTAAAGTATCATTTCTCTGAATCTTGCTGATCTATCAACAGGGCGAAATGATGTACGTCGATGATGATATTACGCACGATTTTGTACGGATCATATGCCGCTTGAATGACAAAGATGCAGCAAGAAAAAATCATATGATATGGAAGGACAAGATAGTCATATCTCATCAAGAAGCAGACCGTTTACCAGGCAATATTGCACATGGTGAGTTTCAAGTTGATTTCCTCGGAAAGGGGCCTTCAAAACATACTGACTCGTCAAAAGCCGATTGCCACGTTCTTTGCAACATAACCTCAAACCTGTCCAGCCTTACACTGAACGACTTCGATCTTGTAAAGGAACATAAATCTTGGTTCAAGAGAATCACTCCCAGGGACAAGTACAGAACTGCGGAACATCAAATCAAGGTTGTCATCGGACCGGCAGATATTCAGTTTGAGCTGTGGTACGATGGTTCGCAATACAACAAACCTAACAGCATTCGAGTGGACTGGGAAGATGGAGCAACAGTTTCTGCGCCAAATTTGGATAGAGAACCCGCTTCGAGCGTTTTATTGGGCATCAGGCAAAGAAAACCAATGAAGTCGCAGAGGGATAAAGGGAAAACGGCACATGCTTTACGAAAAGGGTTACGGAGCCCATGTGTCCGGAGGAGAGATAATCAGTAACCAAGGGGAGAATAAGCAAGATACCCACTGTGGCGTTCCGGCGTTGCTCACAGACATCCCCTTCTGCTAGAGGTTCTCGTTGTAATCGGCGCACTTTAGAATATCACGGCGATAGCAAATTTTATTTTATTTTGAACAGCTGTGCAGTTGAACCTGGATCTAGCATGCTTCTATTTCCAGCTCTGTCCATGTTTCTTTCCTATCCAATTATGGGACACGATCCAATGAGACCCTAGCTCGAGCGTAGTGTTTGCTATTTTCATGTCCGCATGAAACTTCGTGCTGTCACATGCCACGCTTCGCCCAACCGTATTCTCCGTTAGGATGCGGTAGAACGTAGCGTTAAAAGGATATCAATCCCCAATGCCTCATACAGGTGGATGCACGCGCGCGTTTCTAGAGTTGTACGTGTATGTTTTGAGGCATTCTTCGACCTTGGCTGAAGTCCACGGAGTCTCTTTCAAAAAACCATCCCCGTGTATTGCGATACATTCTTAACTAAGAGTTGTCGCTACTTAGATATCCTCGTTGGCTCGAATTCCACCAAACATGCCATTTCCAGGGCGGTATCCGAACCCAAGTCCGTCCACGAGCCGGTGATTTCCAAGGTGGAAACTCCGCCTGGGCAGGGTCAAAACCAAGGACTGAGAGTACCAAGTGCTGGAAATGCACATGAGGCTATATATCCCGTCCCTGGCAAAGTTTCCTCTCATGGCCATTGAGGTAGGGAGGTCTCGCTAATTTGATAGGTTGGAAAATACCATTAAAAATTCTTCGCCAACCAAATGATAAGTCTTGATGAAGTGTCAGAGAACGAGAGAAAGTGCAGCATAGAACTAAGGGCTTGATAGCAGACACTGGAAACGATCCGGAGCAACAACCTCCCGCTAACGGAACCGCAACCACCATTCAACATGTACATCTCGAGTAGGGATGGATTTTTTTTTACATAATTATATTATGTATAATGGGCTTGCCACTATTATATTGCATAATTTTATGCGCAGGGAGGAGAGGAGGAAGAAAGGAGACGACCACTTGTCGCAAGGCTCTGATGCTGGAACTTCAGGCCAGCGAATCCAGGGCCTGACTTCAAGTCACAGCAAACAAGATTAAACCAGAATAGAATGGAAAGTAGATACAGAATCATCCATTGATTAAGGCGCTCCCAAATTTCTCTCACGATAAAGTCCGAATCTAATGTATACAGCTCTCCCTCCCTCATCTCTCGCCGATAAACTTTTCACTCTCGCACTCCAACTCCTCATCAGCAGTCCCTGAATCCTAACATCACAAGCTCACACTACAACCCATCCCCCATCCCATCTCCTTCCTCCTCCACACCGTGCTGATGCTGCTCAACCCCATGAAACGCATCCCCAAACGCACTATCATCCATCTCACCTCCAATATCCATGCCCATCTCGCCCAGATCTCCCAGATCGCCCATCTCCCCATCACCAAGGCCCTCATAGCTAGCCAGCGCGTCACCTGCTGTATCCAGGTCCCCGAGATCCGCGAAATCGTTCGGCGAGGTATGGAAGTCCGGGAGCCCGGGGGTGTTGGCTGCTGAGGTGCCGGCTGTGATGGGGAAGGGAGAGGGGTTGGAAATGGGTGCTGAGGTGGTAGGTGCTGGTTGATTGATTTGAGCTTGGTTTGGCGAAGTGGTAGGAGGGTGGGGTTGTGTGGAAGCGGTGGGTGAGATGCCACTAGGAGGGACGACGACCCAGTCGTCGCCTGGTTGGTCGTTAGACGGCGCTTGATCATTGGAGGGTCCATCGGACATGTTGACGTCGCCTTGAGATGGCTGTTGGGTATTTGGCGGGGCCACAGGTTGTGGAGATGGGATATTCAAGTTTGGTGTGTTGACAGATGATTGCTGGAGGTGGGGCTGAGGTGTAGGGAAACTGCTTCCTGGAGTGGCATTTGAAGAAAGACCAGTGTGATATTGATCGAGCATACCAGCTGCCGAGTTGCTCATATCCATATCTGCATCGCTAACCAGGACCCCACTGTGCGTAGATCCATTATGTGAACCAGGAGGCGTGATCTGAGGAGTTGGCTCCGCGGGAGCAGGTTGAGGAGATGGGATAGCTTGGGCTTCTTCGTAACCACCATCTTGAATGCGGATAAGTTCCTTGACTGCTGCCGCGTGACGACCCACAGATGCTTCGACTTGAGCGACAATGTCATCAACCTTTGGCAGAACTCGACTAACGACTTTGCCGTCTTCATTTTCCTCTTCGTCAACTCTGCCTTCGAGGCGCCAATATTCTGGCCCAGTATCAGTAGGATCATCGACTGCCGTGCGCAATTGCTTCTCAGAAAGGGTGGTGAGCGAGCCCTTTTGAAATTTCGCCAATCTTCTCGCATGCTTTGCCTTTAGCTTTTCGATCTCCCTGTTGGTCTGCGCAATGCGATCGTGAGCTCTCTTCCGGAACTCCTCTGCCTTATCAGAATCTAAGCGACCAACATAGGCATATTTTGCGACATCTTTCTCGGGATCGAAAGGGGCATCGAAGATTCCGGCCGTGAGACTTGCAAGTTCACCACGCACACCAAGGCCGAGATCTGCAGGAATGATTTGATTGATAGAGTATGGCGAAGATAAGATCTCTTCCATCCATTCGTGATTCTGCTTGTACCTGCTCATGCTGATTTCGCGAGGCGTTGTGTGGTCGAAGAGATCTCCACGGGAAGTATCTTCTTCATCATCAATGTCGAGAACAGCAACAGCGCCGCCAGCAGCTGCTGGATTCACATTTGCAGAAGTTCGGGCTCGCTTCGCAGGAGGACCAGCTGCTGCATGCTGGGTCGGGTAGGCCATGGCTTGGGGAACTCGTGCTTGTGGAACGTTTGCGCCGTACATAGGAGGCCCTCGAGGAGGACCTTTGGGGAAGGAGATTTGAGGCCAATTGGCACGATCGTGAAGCATAAAGTCTTTCTGGACGATTTGGCCTTGTGAGTGTAGGTATTGTCGCGTATTCATTGTATGCTGGATGCGCATGTCGATGGGTATGACGCTGGAAGGAACTCGTTCATGGGGTTCGGATTGTGTATAGTGCACGATCCAAAGAGCTGGATCAGGTGCAGGTTGGGCATTTGGGAACTTGGAAGGGAGAAGACGATATCGACGACGGGCATGAGATGCGAATTGTTCTCCGGGAGCATAGCCGGTCTTGTGTTGGTACATCTCGAGGGTCTACGAACAGTCAGCAACGGCCTCGAGAGCATCGCGAGAAGGGTGGAAACTTACATAGCCGCCAGAGACCTCTACCTGGAACGCTGTCTCCTGGGGAGGCCAAACATATCCATCGCTGGGGAAGTCAGAGCCTAGTGAGAGAGATTGCCAAACGAGCAGGATTGAATTGTCAACGGGGCGGTCGAGATATGTCCAGAAGAAAGGATTTTGATCGCGAGTAATTTTGGGAGCGCTGAGTAGCCATTCTGCTACCTTGTCTGGATGAAGTTGCTGAAGTGTAGGAAATCTGTACGTTGAAAGTAAATGCACATGAGGTTGCTGTTGATTCGAGGTCAGCGGGTCAGTTTGTCAGGGGAAGATTGTCGCGGACTCACCAGCTCGCGCTGGATTCCTTGGCTGGGATCCTGCATTGTACCGAGTGAAGCTGAATGTCGAGAAATTGAAGAGCGCGAAGGGGATCTGGTCGAAGAGACAGTTGACAAGTGTTGAAAACGCGAGGCCAGAATCGCGACAATCGCTAGCGCGAAGCTAGCAGGTCACGTGGCTGGCCGGCTTCATCTCAGCTATCGCTAAAGTCCGGTCAGCAAAGAACATCTCTCAAACCCAGAATCTCAACTCACACTCCGTAATCATGGCCATCCACTAACTCCGACGTCGCTTTTATCAATGTACAATTTCAAGCCTATTTAAGAAACTTACCTCGTATTTTCACCCCCTTCTTGTCCAGGAGGTCATCGCCCCACTCGCATTCCCAGTCGAGTAACCAACACATATCACCATGACCCCGCCTTGCTTGCTCGTCCTCCCACCGGAGCATTCCCTTGTTGTGTTGGAGAGCCTCCTTTATGGAGGGGGAATGAGAGCTCGGCGAGGCCATAGGGAAGGAACCCGCAAGCAACGTCGGTGGAAAACCAACGCCGGCCGCGACGAAAGTCGACAGCTACAACTTTGGCATCTCCCAGAAGAAAGGCATGGTGGTACAAGACTCCGTATCTATTTGAAATCGTTTTTGGAGGAGAGACGAGAAGAGCGTTGGTATGTATGGTACAGAACAATCGACGAAGAAGAAAGAAAGAAAGAGGAATTGCTTCTTCGAGGTGGAAGCCATCTCTTCCATCTCATGACAATACAGTACTCTTCTCTATTCCCTATTCTCTATTCCCTATTCACGCTTTCCTCTTCCTGTCGTAGCAATTGCTGGTGTTGTCGACAATAGCTACAATCAAGATTCACTTGGCTATTGTCTGTACTATTGTCCTTTCTCTCATGCGGTACAAATTCACTCGTCGAGGTCTAGTCGATCATTTCTCGCACCTCAAAATGCAAGGTATCTCCGAACCTTCTCATTGCACGATTCAGTGAACATACTTCTCTCCACTAAACAACCTCGACTCCATTTGATCTTGACCGAAAATGTATATAGGTACCAGCCACCCATGGATATTAATATCACACTTCACAGGGTTCCAATCGAGTATCAGCAAAGATTTTTCATTGTGATCAGTCTAAATACATTCCTATTCAACTTCCCCACGTATGATTGCTCATCATCCATTTTCCCCACCAGACGCCATTTATGCCTGGTATGTTGACGCACTCACGTTACCACCACGTCCGGTCCAGTTAACATGAATATTCTCGCCTTCCTTGTACTTTGCGTTCGCGAACTCAGGCTTGATCTTGAAGGTATGCGCACCAAAGTAATCACGCTGCGCCTGGAGCAAGTTGGCGGGCAAGTCCTTGGTACGGTATCCATCGAACCAGGACAGAGCGGTGGAGAATGCCGGGGTCGGTATGCCGAGAAGAGCAGCCTTGGCGACGACGTCGCGCCAGCCGGGTTGCGCCTTGTGGATCGCCTTGTTGAAAAAGTCGTTGAAGAGGAGGTTCTCGAGATCGGTGTTGGCACGGTACGCGGCAGTGATGTCCTTGAGGAAGACGGAGCGGATGATGCAGCCACCACGCCACATGAGGGCGATAGAGGGCTTGTTGAGCTTCCAGCCGTATTCCTTGGCAGCCTGCAGCTTGTTAGTCATCTATGTTTTATTGGGGGCGGAGATAAGTACTTCTTGCATGAGCATGAATCCTTGGGCGTACGAGATGATCTTGGAAGCGTACAAAGCTTGCTCGAGATCCTCCAGGAATTGCTCCTTGTTGCCCTCGAACTTGTTGCTTCGGCCGACGAATGAAAGGACCTTGGAGGCGCGGGTACGCTCGCCCTTGATGGAGGAGAGACAACGGGAGAGCACGGCTTCGGCGATCAGAGTAACGGGCATGCCAAGATCGAGGGCGTTAATAGCAGTCCACTTTCCGGTTCCCTTTTGGCCTGCGGAATCCATGATTTTCTCGAGGAGTGGGGTTCCGTCATCGTCGTTGAAGTACATGATGTCTTTGGTGATATCGATCAAGAAGGAGTCGAGGACACCCTTGTTCCAGGTTGTGAAAACATCGCCAATCTCCTTGTCCGGCATTCCAAGACCGCGCTTCATGATATCATAGGCCTGGAGGTGTCAGCTAAGTCAATTGAGCTTGTAGATAGAGCACATACTTCGCAAATCAGTTGCATGTCACCGTATTCGATACCGTTGTGCACCATCTTGACGTAGTGACCAGCACCCTCATCACCGACCCATTCGCAGCAAGGCTCGCCGTCGCTCTTGGCAGCAATGTCTTGGAAGACATCTTTGATGTATGGCCAGGCCTCCTCGTTTCCACCGGGCATCAAAGAAGGTCCATATCTGGCACCTTCCTCACCCCCGGAAACGCCGGTGCCGACGAATCGGATGCCCTTGCCTGACAAGTACTTTGTTCGGCGTGTGGTATCGGGGAAATGTGAGTTACCGCCATCAATGATAATGTCGCCTTTCTCGACGTGGGGCAGCAGAGTCTCGATGAAGTCGTCGACTGGCTTACCAGCCATGACGAGCATCATAATACGGCGGGGCTTCTTGAGCTTGGAGACGAATTCTCCGATGGAGTGGGCACCCTCAATTGACTTTCCTGTCGTTGTATCCGGATCAATACAAAAGAGCTTTCCTCAGAGAATTTTGTGGCTTACCCTTGGCCTCATTGGCAAGGAAGTGGTCCACCTTGGAGACAGTTCGGTTGAAAGCAATGACTTTGTACCCGTGGTCAGCGGCGTTGAGAATCAAGTTCTGGCCCATCACGGCCAAGCCGATCAGACCGAAATCTCCTCTGGGTTCATTGTCAGTTGAATGTACTTGATACGCGGGAGCGTTGCCGCCCAGGTTGATGCGATCAAGGCGTGCGCTGAGGATTAAGAGATTGGTCAGAGGGATTTAGATTTGAAGCTGACGATACTCCATCGATTCTCCCTCTGCTGCTTGTACGCTACCGCCGCACGCAGCAGCGTTGTTCCACAGCCAGCGGGACAGTGACGATAGCGATGGTGGGGTAATGTTGACAGCACGGAAAAGCAAAACTTACGTGGCGCCTGACATGGTGGTCAAGTTCAATGGGTGTGAAGGAAGAGAATGCGCGCGAAGCTATTCAGAAGATTGTTCCGTGGTGGATTGGAACAATGGGATTGCGATTCAGTAGAGCGAAGGTGTTGCAGGAGAAAAGAATTCGGAATGACGAAGAAGTCGTTGGGCGGATTTGACGGATGGAGGGGTTGGCTCGGGGAAGCTAGGCCCGCTTAAGCTGTTTTGCTTAGTAGGCAAAACGCCGGTTCAACGCACTTCCAGCGACTCCTGACGAGCAGAGTATCACCGTGGGAACGCACAGAGTGGCTGTGGCCGGCATCTGAGCGGGATGCCGCTGGGAGGCGGGAGGCGGGAGGCGGGAGATGGGAGATGCTGCGTGTTTTGCTTTGGAGGAGGAAACTCCTGACTGCGTCGGGAGACTCTTCCAGAATGCTGATGCTGAATTCCCGATGATGTCGAGTTCACGATGTTTGTCCAAAACACCCTCTGGATCCATGCCCGCTGATTATTCAGACAAGGTAGGCTCCAGTGGGGTTTCATGCAACGAAGGCCCAAGATCATGAACGGGGGAGGATGGTCCAATGACCACGAAGTCCGGAGAACGTACAGGATCTGAGTCATGAAAGCTGGATATTAGACGTAATTACCCACGGCTTGGAAACAGGAAATTGCGAGCAGAACCCTCGATATTCCGAACTCAGCCTTGGGTGTTCCGTTCGGAGAAGCTGGAAGTTGAGCCGTGGAATTGAGGTCCAGTCAACAGCCTCATCTCTCTGCAAAGACTCTGCTCTCTGGCTTCACGGCTAGTCTGGGTCGTAGTGCCAGCTCACGGAAACAGCTGTTCGGAAACATTGAAGGCTCGGCGTCGCTCGAGGCTGCGCAGATTCGATTCGATTCGGTGAAAAGAAAAATGTCGGCTTGACTGACCGAAGATCCCCCCACGAGCCTCCCACGAGCCCCCCACTCTTAGAAACTCGGGCTATCCAAGTCACCTGACCCAGCCTCATTTGCCGGGCGGAGCGGGGCAGAGCGGAAGCTAGCCCCAAGCCTTCTCAAATCTTCAGCCACACCAAGTCAAAATAAACTGCTGAGCCTCGACCGCGACTCATCTCCAACCTCGAACAGCGAACCTCGCATCGCATCGCAACTCGAGCATCTGCCCGACGTCGCAGCTGCGCCCTGCAACCAAGGCACCCAGACGCACCACATCTACTCCACTTCAGGTCGAGGAAGCCATCTGCGTCAAGACGCAAGAGGTACGTGACTTCTATCAAGAGATCCACGCACAGCAATTCATCATGTCCTATCCCCCACCTCCAGGTCTCCCTTCGAAATCCACACCCGCACCACATCCATCTCTACCCGCCAGACCGCCGCCCTCAACCTCAACTTTCAAGCCCTCTTACAATGCAGGCCATGGTGCGCCCTCCGCCTCGTTCGGCGCCTTCGCCGGCTTCGCGCCCAGACAAGTAGCAGCTCCTCAACCACCAGCCTTTAACAACTACCCACAATCTTCATACACGCAAGCGCAACAACCATACAATGCCTACGCCCAACCACAAGAAGAGCCTGCCTATGGTGCTGCGCCACAAATCCGAAACCCCTTCGCGCCACCGAGTGCTACAGGAGCAGGCAGAGGCTATGAGGAGGACCCAGAGATGGCTGCCCAGATCGCACAATGGCAATCTGCATACGTTGGTAAAGAGGGACAAAGCTCGTCAGGCTACACCGGTGCAGTTCGACGGTATCCAAACACAGGCGAGGGCGCTGGAGCTGCGACCTCCGCGAATGCCGCCCCTCTGGGAGGAAGAGTTGATGGACCGAGCATGAGTTCGGCTGCCATGACCAGCGCAGCTCACAACGATACCGGTGTTGCTACAGTGGTCAGCGATGCAAAGACAAACACGAAAACTGTCGTTCGCTCCGGCGGAGGAACAACATGGACTGATTCCTCTCTTCTCGAATGGGACCCGGCACATTTCCGACTCTTCGTAGGAAACCTAGCGGGTGAAGTCACAGACGATACACTCCACAAGGCATTCTCTCGGTGGCCATCAGTACAGAAAGCGCGAGTCATTCGCGACAAGCGCACAACGAAAAGTAAGGGCTATGGATTTGTTAGTTTCAGTGATGGAGACGAGTTCTTCCAGGCCGCAAGGGATATGCAGGGAAAGTATATTGGCAGTCATCCGGTCTTGTTGAGACGAAGCACCACGGAGATCAAGGCTGTCAATCCGAAGGATATGAGAAATAATAAGAACAAGCACAAAGGGAAGGGCAAAGACAACAAGGATAAGACTGGTGCGGGCGTTCAGAAAGCCGGGGCGAAGACAAAGGGTGGGTTGAAGATTCTGGGTTAGAGAGCATGATGGCGTTACGGGTACAGAGGGTATTTATTGTTGGAGTTCTGTGAAAAAAGGTCAGCAGCGTTGACTCGACATAATCCAAAGCGGGCACCAGAAGAAGCTACGAGCAGAGCATAGAACATAAATAAAACAAACCAACATTGCAAACTCGGGCTGGAGTACCCCTTACTACAATTCAACCCCTTCCACCAATTTCAGCTGAAGCCAGCCATCATTCTTCCAAATTTCCAAAGACTTGCATTATTTTTATCTCAATCTTATTTCCATTATGGTCCTTTTACTTTCATTTCTCGGCCTCACGGTCTGTCAATTACGCTTTTGCTTTTTCTCTGGTTCGCCTCGAGTGTTCTCATCCGCAAAGCAATGGAGAGTCTCGGCTTCTCAGCTGAGGATCTTGTGCTACTGCCAGATATCAACTATTCGACTCCGTACCTCAGTACCGTCGGCTCCAAAATATATCTCTCCTTCTTCCTCGCATCGTAACACATTTTGAACCTGCCATTTATAGGACTTCCGCCGCCGTGGTGCGTTGTGTGACTGCATGCACTCCAGCCCTGCCTGCCCTACACGACAGTGTCTCCATAATGTCCCCCAGAAATTTAGACTAGCCACGTTGTTGTGTGACGTCGACCATAGATCAGAAGTGTTGGAGTGAGCCAAACTTCAGTGTTAGGTTTAAGAGCCAGTATATTTTTCAGTCGCTTCGTGTGTACTGCTGAGATATTTGAAGCCAGATATCTTGGCACGGTCTCCCCGAATGCCTAGAATAACTGGCCACCACAACTGATGTATGGCACAGTGATACTCGGTGTTGTTCACACAGCAATACTAGCTCTTTCTGTCTTGTTGATCCTTTGGGAACAGGTTTCACACCGAGATAAGAGTGAGCGAAGGAGGGTGTGTAAGGGAGCAACCGCATCTGAGGAATATAAATTGAGTTAGAGCTAATTCCCTAAGACTCAGGTTTGATTTTATTCTTTCGCTGGTTCCGTTTTAGTCTCCGGACGTGAGCAGCTGCCGCTTTTACCTGAGCCGAGGATGGGTATGCGGAGCAGAACCTGAGCCACCGTGAGCCATGGCCTAAGCATCCTGGGCATGCCCTGAGTCAACCTGCACATCATTGTGGAGCCCATTTTAGCACTCCATGTGCGCCGGCTACAGTTTCCTTGCCGAGTTTTGCCCGGGAATCCGTTCCTGCCCCTTTACAGGGTCCCTGCCATGCCGGGAGCCGATATTGGACTCCTCTGTCAAAGAGCAGGTGTCTAACAATTCAGATGATGCCAAAGAAACCTCGGAGAACTGAAAAGACAAGTTAAACGAGAAGTAGTCGGCTAACCAGCATCAACCTCACTGTTGGAAATGACACAGAACAGGTTTACTAATAGACCTGTCGCTTAGACTACTCAGGCTGTCAAGTCAAGCTTAGGGCTGTTAAGGCTTGGCGCGAAACTGCACTGCCAATCAACGCACCAAAAGGTGCAACACATCTCAGGCCTGGCTCCTTGCGCAGCCAATTGTAAGATACATTAAGTCGCCATTGCATGAACTGTACTGCAGCTGCAGGCAGAGCGATGTTTGTAAGCATACCACTCCCAATGCATGCGGGTGAGATAAGACCCCGCATGAGAATGAAGGGACTTAGCTAAAGTCTAAGATAATCGTGTTGCAAGGCCCTTTTTCTTCCCCCTCTCTTGTTTCTTCCAACTCAACACTCTGCTGTTGTAGAACGAAACGTCGAAAATGAAGCAGTCGTTTCTCGTGTCCTGTCTTCTTGTTTCCGTCACAGCGCTACCATCCGCTAGACCCAAACATGGCGGCGAACCTAGCAGTACTGACTTTCCTCTTTGGACGGGAGGTCCGTCTAGCACTCTCAGACGTAGTGAGTGGTACTACTATGTCGACTTCGAAATTGGCTATCCTCTACAATCTGTGAGCCTGTTGCTAGATACAGGAAGCTCGGATATTTGGATCAGCGGACCCGAAGTCTGTCACAATTGTACTTTCAAAACATGTGAATACCTATCCAATTGCGCATTCTTATTCCCAACTAACGGCCAGCAGACAACGTTTCTGCCTCAGAATCAAGTGTACTGATCGACAAGGATATACTGTTCTGGGAAAATTATGGGCCCACAGTCACAGGCTTTTATGTATCGGACGAATTCAACATAGCTGATACTACTGTTCTCAACGTTAGCTTCGGCGTTGTGAATTGCACTGACAAAAATTCCTGGAACCCTGGAGGCATTCTAGGGATTGGCTTGATCGGTTTTCAGACTATTGCCGCGCAAACTGGACAACCAATTCCGGGCCTTCTAGACCAAATGAAAGCCGAGCAAGTCATTACCGCTTCTACTTATGGGATATATCTAGGCGGCCAATGTGAGCTAATACTGGTGGGTGTCTCGGGTACAGTGGCTGATATGTGCCAACAGCTTACTGGGATGAAGCCCCAGGCGAGATCACATTCGGAGGCTATAACCCTTCAAGGTTTTCTGGAACCTTAGTTCCTCTACCGTTAGCCCCCTCACCCGACCAATTCCCAAGGCTCCAGATTTGGCTGTCTTCAGTGAGCGTGACGACGAATGGAAAGACAGAACTTCTGCGACCAGAGACACCAAATGCTTTGGGCACTTCTATTCTTCTTGACACAGGAAGTCCGGGATCAGCAATACCTAGCTCTATGTATTACCAGCTTACGGAAGTGCTCGAAGTCAATCCGGTTACTAATCAGGTAGATTGTGAGTACTTGAATTCCGATGGAGGGTTGACATACACCTTTTATGGGTTTGACGGAAAGTACGCGGACATCTGGGTTCCATTTAAACAAGTTATCCGACCATTCGTGTCTGACGTGTGTTACTTTACTATTACGCCGGAGTACGATTGTTCCAGGGGAGCCACTCATTTTAGCTGCACAACTCTGGGTGAAGACTTCCTTCGAGCTGCATACATCTATGTCAACTATGACAATTCAACGATAAGCATAGCTCAGGCAGCTTACGAGATTCCGAATTTGTACCCTGATGGGATCGAACAGGTTGGCAGCAGAAGTCAAGCGCCTTTGATAGTTCAGCAGTTGGTCTGAGAGCTCGCCTGTTGCTAGTCTGCGCTCTGCCCTTGAACTTCTCTTGTACTTGGGAAATACATAAAAGGATATTGGTGAAAGGTGGTTAGATATAAAATATAACGTTAGCTTGAGTAAATTTGGTGGCCGCGGCGGTACGCGAGGCTACCCTTCAATTGAGGTGTCCCCCCCCCCCCCCCCCCCTAGATTTTCACGCTATATTACTTCTGATGCTTGGGACGTGATAGGAGTAAACTGAGGTTTGATGATATCGCCAAGCAGGACATGATCAAGTTTGCCAATAGTTTCTGTCTTTCGACTAAGATATTTGTGGTTCTAGTATTAGGCTATAGCGGGGATACACAGGACACCGAATAAGACCTGCCTTATAATGACTCGGGGCGTGCTCAGGATACTTCTGGCTCTGCTCAAGTTTTGCTCGGGTTTGTTCACCCTTAGCTCAGGTAAAGGCAGCCGCTGCTCACATCTAGATACTAAAATGGGACCAGCGAAAGCGAGATCAGAGCCTATCTTTGGTGGTAGTCAGTGTTCGGCATTAGGTTGAGTTTCATAGGTCCAACCTAGGTAACCTACCGTAGGTTACCTACTTAAAGGATTTATTTAGGTTTAGGTTTGGTATAGATTATAGGTTGAACCTATTCAGCCTATCAAAATTTGTATATAGGTTAACCTACCTACAGCTCTCAAATTAGGTTAGGTTACCTACCTATAAGGGGTGCAGGCCGGGCAGGTTCAACCTAATGCCGAACACTGGTGGTAGTCAGGTTGAATCAAGAAGTATCTTCTGGCCCATGGCCTTCTTTCTAAAGGCCGATGATTGCATATAGCTTGTCCTGACCATTCGTGGCTTTGAATGTCGAGAGACGATTTAGATTTTGGGGACAAGGAGGAGAAGGATTTGCTAACCCTTTTTTGATTCCAATAGTACTATATAATTCTATATAGTATATCTAAAAAAATTAAAGCTAATTAATTATAATTAACTATAGTTAATTATATTTGATTATGATTTAATTCAGTAAATTTTAACTTGATTTAATTTAGTGAATTTTAACTTGATTTAATTTAATTATAATTAACTATAATTATTATATAATATTAAAAAAACTTGAATTTCTTAAATAGCTTAAAAAATTATTAAATAACTAATGACTATATTAATAAGATATAAATAAAACTTATAGAATATATATAAGAATATAAAGCTAGTCTAAATTAGATATAAAAAACTAGATATTTTTCTTAAAAACCTCTTTTTTATCTTTTTATTCTTTTTTATTCTTTTTTATTCTTTTTTATTTCTCCTTATTTTAAGAAATATTAAGGTTAATTAAAAGTTATTAAGATATTTTCGAATATATTAAATAAAAATAAGTAAGTTTATAATTAAAAGCTTCTTAATTAGAGCTATAATTATTGAGATATTTATATATAAAATAAGAGAAAAAGAAAATAACCCGAGAAAAATTATTTATTTATATATAAATTTTTTAGAATTTAGAAAATTATTTAATAAATATCTAATTAGATATAATTTTCTAATTTTAAAGTATTTATTTATAGTAATAAGATTTATAAAATAGTAAAGAATTATTAGAAAATTAAAGAGGTTTTAATATTTTTAGTTTATATTACTTTATTTATTAAATAATATAATACCCGATTTAGTAAAAAGTACTTTAAATAATATAAAATATAAACTAGTTTAAGCTTTATTTTAGTTTTATTTCGCTTTTAAATCTTTAAATATATAACTAAATAAATAATTATAATTAATTATAATTTAATTCAAAAGCTATAATTAAATTAAACTAAATTATTTAATATATTAATACTATATTTATTACTAGCTATAAAGTCTTTTTATTTTAAATTACTTTATAATATTTTCTAATATTAAATAGTATAATTGTAATATTTAAAAAATAGTAATTAATAAAATAATCTTTAATTATTATAATAGCTTTTAAATTTTAAAGAATTTCCTAAATAATTCAAATTTATAAAGATTATTCGATTTTCTAATTTATATAACCTTAAATTTACTATTATTAACTAAAAAGCTAATAGTAAAAAAAGACTAGTTTTATATATATAATAAAATCTGTTTTTAATTCAAATAAATATATATTTAAAAAAAATTTAGTTTAAAGAAATATATAAATTATTATATAGCTTATAATTATTAGAATTCGGGATTTAAGGCCTTTAATAAATTTAATAAATTCTAAAATAAAGCCTTAAAAACTATATATTAATAGAATTTAAATATTTTATATAATATTATTATATAATTAGATTACTAGTTAAAAAACGAATTATATAAAGAATATTAAAACTTGAATTTAAATTCTTATATATTATTTATTCAAGAAATACTAAAGCTCTTTATATATTTCTATATATATTCTTATATACATTTTTATTTATATATTTTCTATTTATATGTTTTTTATTTATATATTTCTTATTTATATATTTCTTATATATATATTCTTTATTTATATATTTTATTCGATTTTATAATTAATATTATAAATAAAAAAATAATTAATTAAATATATAAGAATAATAAATATAAAAGAAATTTATAAAAAACTAGAATATAATATAAAAATAAATTAAAAGTATTAGTATAGCTATTTCTTTAGGAGTCATATATATAGTTACGAGATACGAGATACGGGATATAGGTAATAGGATATGGGTAATAGGATATGGGTAATAGGATATGGGTAATAGGATATGAGTAATAGGATATGAAATACGAGATATAGTTATATAACCTCGTATTTCATTAGTAATTCGACTAGTAAACTAGACCCCTTTAGGCTTAGCAAATTTAGGAATCATATATTAATATTATAATATTATAATTCCTACTTTAGAAAAATAACTTTACTAACCTTATATAAATAGTACTTCTATACTTATATAATAGTACTATATATTACTAGTAAACTAATACTAATTAGTTTATATTCAGATTAGAATAAGATCTATTTATATATATAAATCAGGAAGAATTAAGCTATACTTACCTAAAATTCAGTTATTTAGGGATAAAGCCATTATTCTAGTTAAAAAAGAAATAACTATTAATCCTATTATTTATAATTTGGTTATATAGGCAGGAAAAATACTTAATCTTACTAAAGTCCAATTATATTATATTAAAGAAAGAAATATCTATTAGTCCTATTATTTATAATTCGGTTATATAAGTAGGAAAAATACTTAATCTTACTAAGGTCCAATTATATTATATTAAAGAAAGAAATATCTATTAGTTCTATTATTTATAATTCGGTTATATAGGTAGGAAAAATACTTAATCTTACTAAGTACTAAAATAATTAGCTATTTTAGCTATCCTACTTTATTCCTATTTAATTCCTATAAAATCCTTTTAAAAACTATCTTTTTTTAAATTCCTGGGGCTCTTAAGCTTTAGAATTATTAAGTTCTTCCGGAATCTTAATATTTCATTTCTTAAATTTCATTCCCTAAATTTCTTATTATAAACGAAATTTTTACTTTAAATATAATACCTTCTATAAATTACTTACTTTATAAACTATCTTCCTTTTTATAAATTTACTTTTCTTATAAACTACTATACCTCAAACTAGATACAAGCCTATAAAACATATAATAACGAAATATATTATAGTAAATAATTCCTTTATTAGATCTATCTAATCTAATTACTTTATATATAATAATAATTATAAGAAATTAATAAGAAAATAAAGATATGAAATTAATCTAAATTTTATTAAAGTAAATAAAATAACTAAGTTCTTAAATACTAAGCTATTTTAATATATTCTCTATAAAATAATTAATTATAATCTTTAGAAGCTATTTAGATATAATTTTAAGGATTTTACTTATTAAGAGAACTTTAATAAATTTGAACTCCCGGAAATATTATATTTATATAAGATCTTTTAGTATAATAACATATTTATATAATAGAATAGTACTATTAATACTATTATAAATACCCTATATACTATTATAAAGGAGAATATATAGTATATATAATTAAATAAGGATATATTAGTAGCTAGACTAGATCTTATTAAGGAACTAAACCTATTAGACTTTATTATTCTTATAAAAAATAAGTATTTAGAACCTATTATCTTTAATATTCCTATATTATTACCTTCTTTATTATTTTCTTTACTATTATATCCTATATCTTTACTAGATTTATATACTAGTATAAAAGCTCTAGAAATAAATAATATTCTCTTACTAATTCTATTACTACTACTATAATTATATTCGAATAATCCTTAATTTCCTTTAATTATAAAACTTATTAGGGAAATCGCTAAGATCTATATTAAAAAGTAAAAGTATAATAGATTTAATAGTAATTTTAATTATAAACTTACTATTTTCCTTAATATTTACTAATATATAAAGCTTTTATAAAAGATACTAATGCGAGCTTTTCTTACTATACTAAAAAAACTAGCTTAAAACTACTTCTATAATAACTAGCTTTCTTAATACATATATAAAGAGGCTTATATTAATATTTATAGCTTCTTTAAAAGCCCTGGATTCAAATATTAAAATTTAGATAAATAGAATATTACTATATTAGCTTCTATAATAGCTAAATTTCCGGAAAAGACAATATTTGAGACTATTTAATTACTAATTAATAAACTATATTAACTATAATATAGTCTTATACCTAATTTGCGAAATACTAAATTCTTTTATAATAAAATTATTATCTCTTATTAAGGCTTTCGAATATATAAATATATAATCTCAGACTTTTTTATAAATCTCGACTAGCTTATTAATAAGCTCTAGTTATTTATTACTATATATAAGAGTAAATAATAAGCTAATCCCGAAATCTTCTTTACTAATTAATAATATTACTCTTAAAACTCTTTAAGCTATTATTTCTCCGGAAATTATTAATATAAATCTAGCCATAATTTCGGAACCCGAAATAACTATTTCAAGCCCTATAATTATAATAATTATACCCTAAAGTCGTGTTTTATATATAAGAAACCCGAATACTACTTATAGAAATATATATTAGAGAAATAAGAAACTAAG